TTTTCCTTATGACGAATCTGAGGGATCTGATAGTCCAGGAGGGAGCAGCAGTAGCGTGTGCAAAGCGGAGAGACGCTCTCTGTTTCATTCGATTCCTGATAGAGCAGATTTCAGTACCTGCATTAAGCACTTGTGTTAAAATGTTGAAGGAAGGCGATGAGCGAACGAAAGCCATGTTCTTGCTAGCAATGCTGGATATGCAGCAAAGTAAACCGATGAGGGTGAACATGAAAGAACCTGAAGAATTGGAACCCATGAAAAAGATAGACGAGATCAGGAGATTCTCAAACAAGGAGTTGAGGCTCACTAAAGAATCTATGGGAGCATTGCCGAAATCCAGTGAATACTGTGGACCGATCAAGAAGAAGTCATATAGCTATGTATCCGGGATTATAGGGATGGCATACAATCCTTTCCTGAGTGAAGACATACGTGATTGCTTCTTTGATTATGAGCAGGCGGTGTTACTAAGATTCTGGACGTCCAGAATTGTGACGACTAAGAGCGTTAACAATCCACAGGCCAAATTGGGATTGGTCTTGGAAGAAGAGGTGACTGCACCTTCAGTACCAAAATCCGACAAGAGAGTGGAATTTGGGTTGGGATTCTCAGATGAATTACTGAGAACGAGCTTGATGGCAGTGTGGGAATTGATGAAGCCGTCGTGGTGTCCTAGTCCCAACGCTGACTCAATATTACGGGCGACACAGGACATACAGAGGGAACTGAATGTGGACTGTAACCTGCGTGACCTCAACATCATATATAATGTGATGATAACAGCCTCTAAGAGCAACGGAGAAGATAGAGTGGAGTTGCCTGGCTGGGGACCAGAAGACTGGGTCAAACCTGGTAGCTGTCTGGCGGAAGTCTGTGGACTAGAGGGTCACGTTTGTGGAAGTCTAGACTGTGTGAAAACCCTGGAGAAACAACACAAGCAGTTGACGGTATTGTTTGGAAATGTAGTGATGAAAGCAAGAACGGAAACGGAACTGATAGCAGATTGCCATGGAGGAACCGATGTGAATCTAGTGACAGCACTAGGATTCTACAGCATGTTTGGTTCTTTAGAGTCACTATTGAATCTAGAACAGAAACATGAGATGGTCACAGCCATCAGCGTAGAAGTATTCCCAGGAGTTCTGCAGACTGAGCAGAAGTATATAGGAAAATGGAGGGAAGCAATCGAAACGGAGATGAACATCAGACACAGCGAAACTTATTGTAGACCATCAGGAGCACGATATTTGGTGGGTTCAATGTTGGCTCCAATGTGCAAGAGCAAGTATCCTGTACATTTCGTAGCTGTGGATGTGAAGAGTACAAGAACGATTGTGGATCAAGCCTTTTCAGTGCCGAAGTGCGTGAGGTTGGCAAGAATATCTGAAAAGTCTTACGAGTTACTGTGTAAGATTTTCTCAGCAGTTCCAGAAAGAACCAAAGAGGAGTTGGAGTCAATACTAGGAAAGAAGTTCATGGGATATGTGAGCGGGAACTTCAGTGACTTTGAAAAACAGAAACAGAGAGGATCAACTGTCACAGATTACAATGCAGTAGATGAGAATGATGAGATCCACCGAGTGATGATGGAAGTGGAGCCATTGCTGGAAGCTTCGGGAAAACGGAATTGGAGGAGCATCATGTTGACACATGACGAGTTTCCTTGCCACTGCTTGCTGCAGACCTGGTGGTATCCCAAGCGTAGTAATCTGGTGTTGATCTGGGACTCTGGAGAGCTGCTCTCCATGGGTTTACCAGATTCATCACAGCCCATAACAATAGTGATAGTGGGAGTTATGATGGCGATACGATGGCTGGAAGCTCATGTGAGAGAAAATAATAGACAGGAGGCACCGACGAGAGAACAATTGCAGAAATTAGATTGTCTAAAAGATTTAGATCTTTTTGAGACAATGTGCAAAGTTCTAAACATTCCGATGGAAGTGAAGAAGATATGGGCAAGAAAACGATTGATGCCATGGTTCAGAGCTAACATGACTGCATGGTTGTACGAGTATGCGAAAAAGCATATGTCGAAACATGGCAGAGTGTACAGTGAATATCAGCTGGACATTGGGGCAGGAGCTTTCAAGCGAGCTTTCGTGACCCATCGGAATGCAGTGACCACCGCTGTGAAAAGAATTTCCAGGACGAGCGAGCGTAGTGGAAGTGAGAGGGCAGAGATGCTGAAAGAAGATTTGGAAAGAAACGTGGCGTTGTGTCTCCACAACAGCTTCTGTAGAAACAGAGAATCAAACGTGGATCCCCTACCTTGCTGTAAACAGAGGGTGGAAGAGCAGAAGTGTTGGAGGACGGCTTCCAACAGCGTCAGGATAGTCAATGACGTGCTACAAGACACGGAGACCGAGAGTGCAGAGTCAGCGTCACAGGAGGAGGAAATGGAGCATTGATGAATGGTCGAGAAAACAAGAGGCAACAAGAAAGAAAATTAGAAGAATTTAGAAGTTTTAGAACTTCTAAACGACGAAAAAAGAAGAGAACAAAGGGATGATGAAGAAAAGTTAAAACTCAGAATTGTTTTATGTGTGTGAAAAACTCAAGTGAGAAACCAAGCAACCAAGTTGTAATTGAAAACTGAAACATTTAAGTTGAGTTTGGAAATTGTTGCATTTATAAATTTGCATTTTGGTTTTAGTTGAAGTGGCTTTAGAGACATTCACTTATTATTTATTTAGAAAGGCTTGAGGGAAGAGTATATTTAAATATTCCAGCCTGCATGATTGTTTTTAATCACTTAGGAAGACTGATAACTTTGTGGTGACATGAAAAACTTGAGTAACTTCTTGAGGAGGGAGGTTGTTGCATTGTTCTTTCTAACCACAAAGTTTCTTAGTTTTAATATTCAGGACAATAAACAAGCAAGATTTCCGAAGGGAAGGAGCATAGTAGGATAATTTTAGCTTGTTGGTTGGCAGGACTGTCCTGCAAGCCAACACCTTTTAAATCTAGGAGAAAAAGTTTCAATCGGGATATTGACACTGGAAGTCAGAAAATATGTTTTATCTTAAGTCATATCCTCAATGTGCAGATTAATGAAAGAATTTGAAGGCTATAGTGATGTAGTATGATGCCATTTATATTCTGCAGTGAGTCGATGTGACGTAGGTAAAAGTAATTTCGTGCATTTTGTAAATTCTGTTCGATGACACTGTAACCACTTAGAACATTGCGCGATTCAATGAGGACATTGACCGGACTGTCCGGGGAGTATGTGACATTCGACCAGAATGGCCAAAATGCAGTCTCTGCAGAATTCGGTATTTTAGCAGCAAGCCTTCCGAATTGGCGATTTAGAACGGATAAGGACGTTATTTGAACGATTAGCCAAACGGTGAAGGCTAGAAGATTCTGGAATTCTAATTTTTAAAAATTCTAATTAGGACGTCATATTTCTGAGAAACGTCAGAGACGGCCATTTTAGCTAAAATAGTAGAAAGAAACAGAACAACTTTATCTGCGATTACGAACAGTACGAAATCGAGACTAAAAGAACAACAACGAACTATCGAACAGCAGAGGACGTTCCGAGTTGCAACTATTGTGCTGTTACAATAGTTGCAAGGCCGTTGCGAGCAACGGTGAAGGGTAAAACCCAGCCTTCCGAGTTATTGTGAACTGGATATTAAGAAGCTTGATTCACCGGATTCAAGAATCCGGAAGGGTCTCGGGACGTGGACTTTTATGAACTTATATTGAATTTTAGCATCCGTCATGTCCTGACTTGAATTTAATTAAGATCTTAATTCGTTTTGACAAGAATGAGGAGCTAGAAGTAGGGGGGAAAGGGTTGATCCATCTTCGATGGAGATGATGGTTTTTATCTACTGAACAAAAACAATAGTAATATAATAAGTAGTAGCCCTGTTTTTAGGAGTGACCTCGTGGTCTGGGGATACTGAGACCCAGCCATGAGCTCACTATTTTTGCATGTAATTCAGTTAATTTGAGCGTTCTGGTCGAAGCCGGAGAACAGTAACGTTTTTGTCGACCCGATGTAAGAAAGACCACCGAAAAGTACTGGCTTGGTAGAGACGGTGAAAAACATGCAAAGCTCTGTTTAGACGCTGGCCAGTCGTCTTAAGACTTAGTTTTGTTATCCGTCGATATGTATCTTCCGGGCGAATGTTACAAAACAGCAGAAATGAAAGATTTTTTATCTTATAATCACTAGCACATTGAGGTGGACTGAAAATGCTACAAATAGATCTGCCAAAACTCGGAAGGCATTATGCTCTGTGAAAAGAAACATCTCCAAAATAACAACAAAGGCCATGAAATTAAAATCATACAAATCATATGTTGCACCTTTTGTAAGTTATGGCTCATCATTATGGAAACCCTCAAAAACAGATCTCGAAATAATTGAAAGTGTACAAAAAAAAGCAACAGCATGGATATTGAGTCCAACTCAAGAATATAAAGATCGATTGATTTCCCTACATATCCTTCCTCTGTCTTTTTATCATGAACTACACAATCCACTGTGACTGCACAAAATCCTAATTGGAAAAAATGACCTACAATGGAAAAAATTCATAAGTGTTAAGGAAAAAGGACAAACAAGATATGCGAGTATGAAAAAAACGAAAGCAAACAATTTAGACTGCAAAAATCAGAATCTGAATTTTTCCTGAGAGCCTGCTATATCACGAAGGCCTTGAATGAACGCCTCAAATTCGATGTCATGTTCACAAAGCAGAAAAGAACTAACAACGAATGTTTTCTGGAGATATTTTAAAGAGAAATTCAACGAAAACGATCCATGCTCGTGGAGAATTGACTGCCTATGTATGAACTGTAAAAACATTAGAAAACTAAACTTTTAAAACTTTTGATTTGACAAAAACTGAAAGGGAGCTAACTCCCTTGGATTTATTTTTCCTAAAGTCTTGTTTATTATTATTATTATTATTATTATGTTTTTCTCTTATTTTAGTCGGTTTTCAAATTTCTCAAATTTTTGTGTTTTTTTCAGATATGATTTAGATGTATCACTTCTGAGGGGCAAAAACTAACATAGCAGTAACCAATTTTCTTTTGTCTTTTCAAAAACCTCTCATTTTTTGTTTCAATTTCTCTAGTTCGTTACTTTTTTTCTCCATTATATTCTTGTGTTTACCTTGTCAGTTCCATTTTCAGATTTCGGTTTACAATGACCTCAAGCTGTCCTCTTCATGCAGTGAAACTAGGTCTACTTTCTGATATTTTTCCAGGTTGATCTTCTTATAAATATAATTACGAATAAAAATTTGTAGAAATTACGAGGTAGTAGCTTATTTAGAAATTCGATCTGAAATTGAAGCTACGCAGTTAAATGGGCTACCGGGCTTAACTTCGACTAACGCTCTTTGTTTATGGTTAGTAGTTCTTTTTTTCGTTATTGAAAAAGTAATTCGTAGTGGAAATTTTTTCCGTCACTGTCTTGAATAGTTGGCTCTTATTCTTTCACCCCACCTCACATAAGCATCAATTTTGTGGTGTAACGGGGTGTATTACAAGGTTAGAAATAGAGACCAATTATATTTGTCAGAGCCTAATTAGCCCGAATCTCTATTTTCGTAACAATCCTTTTATGTCAACAAGAAATCTCTCATAAAATTCGCAGGTGGGGAGGAAGGAGAAAGACCGAACGTTTTTAGAGCCTTATTTAAGCGGGGCAAGAATTGTTGTTTTCAGGTACCTTTACAATGGACTGAAAGGTTCTCCGTCAGTGTCTGAAGACAGACTTCTGTGGGAACATAACATTTTGAAGGTATTTTATAAGTTTGAACTTTTCTGTATTTAGTTTTATTTATGGGTTTATCATACAACCGGGTCTATAGTTTATTGCCCCCGTCAGATGGTTTTATTGTAAAAAATCTGTTGGAATTGTAATAACGCTTGCGCAAGCTTTATCAAACTGGAATATAGACGTTTTTTACGGGTTAACAACTTGTTTAACAGAATCATTTTGAATCACTTGTATTATCTTGGTTCATTATGAATTCAAACTTCATTGCGTTCCCAGGCACTTTAGCCTGTAGATTACGATTATGCCTTGGGCTGCAAAGTTCGTGGAATCGAATCTGAGTAGGACCTTTTTTTTCAAACGGGAAATTCTGATTTAAATAAAATTGTCGGCCAATTAATTGTCTGCTTATTTGTTGTCGTCTTAGTTGTTTAATCTGAGAATCGTTGTTTTTGCTGCGTGCATTTTTCTTTAATGTTGCTTTTAGTGTCTGATTTATTCCTACAAAATTTATCTTTACTACTTACCTTGACTACCTATCCTTCTTTGTTTTTCTTTTTGTTTCGCTAAAAAAAAGTTCCTAGGCCCAAGTTAATTCGGCCTATTTCTTATCAGCCTAATGACCTAATTTTGGGTCGTTTCGAGGGAAAGACAATTTTAACACTTCCCTCCGCGATTTTCAACTTGATTGTATGTTTACCAATCGGTTTGTTGAAAAAATTTTTTTCGTTTTGAGAAATGTTTTCACGTTTTGCAAAAGTTTTTATTTTTCTCACACACTTCTACTGTGACACACTTCCTGTGTGCCTGAATACTTCCCTGTAGTCTTTTTCTTCTTGGCCCCTCTGTTTACCGCCTTCGAAAAAGTGTGTGTGGGGGGGGGGGGGGTTATTTGACCCATATTTTTGGTTTTCTCGACAACTACTTCTCTCAAATCTGAGTTTTTGGTTTAAATGCTTAGAGTTGTTTGGAAAAGTTCCCCTACATCAGCAGCTACTCCCAATTTTTTTCTACACAAAAAGGTTTGGCCCTCCGAATAGTCCACCTTTTAATTTTTGACGGTTATGTGATTCTTTCTGACTTTTCTCGATAACTAATATCTCAAATCTGATATTGTGGGTTCTAGGGAGTTAAGGGGCACTGGGAACTCCCCTGCATTAGCGGCCTGTCACAAAGTTGTTTTTTACACAAAGTTATCGCCCTCGGAAAAGTCAAAATTTTGAATATTCTCGAAAATTTCCCTGCCATATCTGAGATTTTGAGTTCAATTCAAAGAAGAGGTTGTAGGAAGCTCATTTGGTTATGCGACCACGCCCCATTTTTTCTGACGCCAAAATTTTGATTTTTGACCATTTTTTTGAAAGTTTTTTTTCTAAATCGAAAACTACCCTCTTAAATTTGACCTTGTGGTTCAATAGATTTTATAGGTTGACTCAGTGCCTTATGCGTGAGCGGCTCCTCTCTGTTTTTTACACAAAAACTGTTTAGCGGAAATGACATTTTTTAAGCGTTGACCGTTTTTTGGACTTTTCTCCGTTTTGTTGACAGTTTTTTTGGACCAAATCTGATATCATAGGCTTAATTGAAACAAAAGGTTGTTGAAAGCCTTTATTTATACTTGACCAAGCCCAGTTTGTTTAAGAAAAAAGTTATGGCCTTTAAGCATGACAAAGTTTTGAAACTTGGACAGTTTTTTGGAAACTTTTTGACTTTACGCGAAAACTACCGTGCCAATTCTCAGATTGTGTTCAATAGAGAAACCCAGTTTTGGGAATCTTCTGTGCATGAGCAGCCAGAACCTGCTTTTCGCTGAAACAAAGTATGGATTTTGGAAAGTCTTATGACCCGTTTTTTAGAACTTTTGATCGTTTTTTTTTAAAATCTTTTTGGATCTTCTTAATAATTACCCAATTATCAAATCTAAGATGAAAAGTTCAATTGTAAAAACCGGTTGCAATAATTGTTCCTACAGAAGCGGCGATTCCTTAACTTCTTGTTAGAGAAATGTTACATCCTTGGGAAAATTGGTTATCTCAAATTTAGTAGAGAAACAACTAAGGTTTTGGGCAAAGTCCAAATTTGGAAATCACATTTTTAGGCCGCTTGAGTATAGAAAATTCATTCAATATCAATTACACACCTCCAGCTTTAGCTGGGCCCCTAGTTGTTTTTTTTTATCGAGACATACGAAAATTTTTGGTCACCTAGTTGGTTCAACATTTAATTTTTTTTTCGATTTTTTATGTTTGTGTTGTATTCGCCTGTGTCCAGTATCCAAAAGCAAAAGGTTTCCTGCTGTTGTCTTTTTTGCCTGTGTTGGTAAAGTAGTGGTTCTTTATTTGGCTAGTAAGGTCCGTTTTAAAATGTTTTAGCCGAGTGTTGCGCGCTTCATTTCTTGCTCTAAAAGTGCAAAGGGCAATCCAGATGACGCTTCATTGAAGGAAGCTAAGAGCTTGTTAGAAGATCAGTCTCGCTATTTGTGTTCTGAGCTATCAAACTCGGATTTCAGCCTCGCCTTACAACAGGTCATATTTTTAGTGAATATGTTTCACTTAAGCATTGGGGACAGTTCTTAGTTTCAAAGTATTAATGAACGAAGTAAGTTTTCACGTAGTTCAGAAGTTTTTTTTTGGTGTTATTGAGTTCAATAATTGTTAACCGACTCTTTATGGGTTATATTCCGTCGCTTCTGCTAGATATTAGTGATTAAAAGACTTAGTTGTCTTTAAAAGTCACGCCAATAAAAGGAAAAAATTGAGCATTGAACAAAACAGAGTTATATGATTAGTTGAAGTTCGTCAGTGTATGGACGACCAAGATAGTTGAATATTCAACAGTAAAACTCATCTAATATTAGATATTTGAAAAGAAAAAAAGTCAAGCCACTCAAAAGTTCATCAATTTGATGAACGACCGCACTTTTTTTTTTTCCTTTTGTAGGATGAAACCCTTCCTGCCTTGGAGGACATAATTGTTTGGTCAACTCTTCAGCCAGTTTTGAATTACATTACTACAAATCCAGGTTAGATGAATAAGTGTAAGCTTTCCTTATTTTTTAAGAGTCCTATTTTCTACCCATTGGATAAGTAAGAGTTTTGCAACCGGGTACAGGACTTATTCCAGTAAACAAGTTTGTTCACAAGATTTCGCAGATGTTCCATTTTGCTTCATATTAAATTCAAAATTTATCACGCACAAAGCGCGAATCTGGCGTTGAGTTATTACAGGTGCTCGAGACGACGAAGGTCACTGGTTCAAATCCGATCGGCACCTACTATTTTTGAAACTAGAAATTTTCTGCTTTTTCGGACTATTGCAAGTTGGCTCATAATCATAAGTCGGATCATATCGTAAGGCAGTAAATTTATTTTGTCTGCTCATTTCCCGTAGACTCTTTTTGAAGGTTCAGCTTTCTTTTAAACTCCTGAATGCCATTTTTGAACCCCCATTTGTAGAGATAATTGAGTTACAAGATTTTTGCTGAATTTTAGTTTTTGTTTTTTGTTCTTGAAAATTTTTTAATATTTAACTTTTATACTTAATGAAAACATCGTTTTTTAATGTTTTTTTTTGCTGCATTCAATAATTTGCGCTGAGTAATTACATATGCGATGATTTTGCGCGCGAGAAAGCGTTGTCAGTTCAGAGAAAAAAAGAGACTTCCATCAATTTCCTATGTTAGTTTTGAATTTACCAATTCCGGCTTGGTAATTTGATTTGTTTTTCTTGTTTTTGCTGTTTACTCGGTATGAAAGTTTTTTCTTTTCCTTTTATACTTTATTGGTGTAGTGGCATTATATTGCATCGTTGAAGAAGTTTCCTATTAGCGTCTTCCTATTAGAGTCTTCTGTGGGTAATTTTTTGAAGTTTTGTAAGGTCTTTTCTTGAATACACTTTTTTTGGGCCAATGCGTCTGATACCGCTTTGTTTTTATGCGAATGTAACTTTCAGTTTTCTTATTGTCATGTTTTTTCTTGTAAAAAAATGGAAATTTTATTCAAAACAAATAAATGAAATATTTGGTAGATCTAGCTTCTATCGACATTTTCAAACTTTTTCCGTCTCATAATCTGCCTGCTAGGTTGTCATGTTTGTTTGCATTATATCGTAAATGGTATGAGGCTCTGCTTTGCCTTTGTGTAAAAGTTTTTGCGCTCATTGATTTTTTGCAGTTTGAATTTTGATTTCTTATCAAATTCAGTTCGCTTCTTTGTTTAAACGAAGGCAATCTCCGCTATCGAACAGCAAAAGTGCATAGGTCACGAAAAACGTGATCAATATCTACTTTTGAAAAAGTTTTTTGATTTTCAGATCAGCGGAATAAACTTTTCCGGTTGATCAGTTTTCTCAAGTTGAGTTAATTTTATCAAAAAAGTCAGTCATGAATTGTTGGAGAAATTCGATGAGCTTTAAGGACATCTATTTTTTTTTCGTAAGGTGAGTATTTCTTCTGTTTGCGTTCATTAACTCTTCTCCAACAGTTGGCTGGTTATGTTGCATTTTAATTGACTTAACGGCTTCCTTCTCTTTTTTACGCAAGCTTCATTGCTTTGTTTTTGCGGTATTGCGAGTAGTGCGAATTGTTTTTTTTTTGTTTGACGATTTGTTTTCAAGTTATCATTTTTAGTGAGTTTGCAAGTGAAATGTTCTATGGTTATTCCATCTTTTTTCCCAGCCAAAGCAACACGGTCGGAACCTTCTGTGCTACTCACACAGTAAACGGCTTTTCTTGCTAATTGTTGGATTTGTTTTTATTTTAATGCATGTTTCTGTATTTCTTTTATTTTTTCTTAGACCGTGAACTAGGGGAAAAAAGAAGACTTCAGGTCTCTTTTGCAAAGCCAATTTCCAAAAATATACATCAGACTATGTAGAGTTAAAAGATTAGGAAAAAAGAAAATAACAAGACAATATAGTGTTCTATTTAGTTTTATCTTCAACCTGAATAACTTTGAAGATTTTTTGATTTTTAAATTGAAGATTTTTAATTGTGATTTCAGAATTTGAGGCAATTGAGCGGTGGAGTTCCAAACTCTGTTCCAAGCACGCAGCCTTTGAGAAGACAAAAATAAACTTCAAACCAAAGCAATTTGAGGTACAAGTTTTGTGATGGTTTTTTTTTCATTAACTGGTTGTGGTGTTTTTAGAAACAGTTCATGTTTCAGGAAGCATTAATTAAAGAGCACGAAAGATGGGAGAAGTTGGGTGGCTCGTGTCAAACAAAACTTCCATCTAAAGTTTCAAAAAAGGTAGAAAAGCGGTCTTTCTATTTAAAAAAAAACGAGGCAACTAGTCATTTGTTGTTAAGCCAACCGCCGTGTCTGTTTTAGAACAGTGGTGAAAGATCATCTTCATTTACAAGCAATCAAGACTGGATCAATTCTTCATTCGAAGGTCAACAACGTCCTACGCGACTTGCTCCACTGTAAGAACCATAACTATACTATAATTGAATGTTTATTACCCTTGCGATGAATATGATTACGTCTTAAATGTCATAATTCCCAAATGGCATAAAAATTTAAAATTTCCAATATGGCATAAATAGTCTAACTTTTGAAGTGGCAGAAAGATTTAAATTAACTTGAAAATAATAAAACCGGAATATTCATTAGAAAGTAAGAAATAAATTGTTTTAATTTTTTCAAGTTTTGGCAGAATTCTGAATTACTATCCTAATATTCTTCAATATCAAGCTTCGAATCTCTGTTTCACGTTGCAAATCTGTTTAGGCTTCTCCATTTTTCGTCGAGGAACATCAGCTTGGTAACCCAATTGGAATCGCCTGTAAAATCTTACCAAGTTTTCTTCATTTTGTAAAGTTCTAACAAGCATCCAAAAATTTGGGCGAATTCGACGACCTACTCTTGTATTCAGCCGATTGTTGTAACGTTCACATAAATTTTTTATTCTCAGAGTAATCTGCCTGGCGTAAACCTTGAAGATAATTGGTGGAAGTTGATGTAGCCAAGTTTCCTCAAAATAGTTGAAAAAGACAAAGATTTGTAAATCGTGAAACCAATCTTTCGGATGTTTGTTGAAGAAACTCATGAAAATTTTCGCGGCCATAAAGTATCGGTAGAAAACCTATGGTATAGCAGTTTCGGATAAATTGGTTACGTCTTCTATCAATTTTGTAAGGAGTAAATAATCCCAAATATTTAATTTTTGACAACATTGCTTCGGAAAATTGAAAATAACATCCTCGACTTGTGACTGCTGAAAGTCTGTTTCTAATGCTGTCTGAAGCAAGATTTTGTTATAACTCGGCACTGAGTGGTCCAAGGTGGTTTTTGATACCATTATAGGGATCTTGTCTGAAACGTTTCAGTTTGGTTTTCCTTCAAGTTGGTTCCGAGGTGAGCTCCATGGCCAGGCACTCTTCACCTCGACACCAATTTGACCGACATCCCCCAGAAAAGTCTCTGGTGGAAGTCTCATGGTAATCTCACCTTGAGTCCTAGTCGAAGTCGCAGATAATTCATTTGATTTTAAGTGGCCGGTCCACTCTTTGAAGTTTTTTTTTGAAATTATTTGTAGCATTCGTCGATAAATTCCTGTCATTTTATTATGAAGCAAACACTTAACCAAAACTGCGAACGGTAAGTTTTCTGCAAAAAGTTAACAGTTATATCAATCAGAAAGAATTATGCTACATTTAGAAACGGCTTTTAATTGTTACTCGCTAGAGAAATTGACAATACCCAACTCTGTCAATTTTAAACAAATTTTTTTCCGTCCTTCGTTTCTGCCCATTCATCTCGAATTTTTAACGATTCGATATTTCTAGGGATTGTTGGTATCATTGTGTATCGTACGCGTAACAGTGTTAATTCAACACTTCTGATTGAGGAGACTTGTATCACTGGTTCCGGCTAGTTTTTTTTTGTAAGTTAGGGCAACTGACCCAAGTGGATTTGGGAAATTTCTGAAAGAATTTCAGCTTTTAAAGAGATCTTAATAGCGTTTATAGTCGGGCATAGTGGCATGTAAAGTTGATATCCATTTCAATGTTTGAAGTGAGCCTGGAGTCGCATTCAGTTTTAGTACAAAGCCAAAAATGTTTGGTTGTAGCTTCGATTTTTTTTATATAAAAGTAGCAGTCATAGTACAAACTGCACTCCCGTAGTTTTTTAAAAATATCAATGTGGCTTATTTTTTTAAAAAATAATCTGATAGTTCTGATCGAATTAAAAGTTGATGATGAGTGATTAGTAATTTGTTGACTAGTTAAAAAACTAAGGCGTGAAAACTCTGGAATGATCTAACTTTTTTACGCCTCAAAGTTCCCAGACATTTTTTGAAATTGTTTATGCCATTTGGGAATTAATTCGTTTTATGCCATTTGGGAATTATGCCATTTAGGAAGTTACCTTATAATAGTTTTGATATCGACTATGCAATATAAATTATATCGAACTAAGTTTTCAAAACAGCGTTTGTTTTGTTCACGCTAAAACTATGATGGCTCTGTTTAAGAAATGTCTCTTTTCGAGTTTCCCCTTTCAAATTCAATTTTGAAAAGCTTATTCAACGTTTTCATAATGCAATGAATTTTGGCGCATTTTGAACAAATTGACAACTGTGAACAGAGTTGTTCTTCATAACTTGCGTCGTAACGTCACGCGTTTAGCCGTAATCACACTTAAAACAAACATCGATATTTTGAAAAGTGGAAAAGATGAAGCCGAATTTGTTTGTTTTTTAGTCTCCCCGTGAAGGGAAAGCGCAATGTGCTCATCACTAGTGCACTTCCCTATGTGAACAACATCCCCCACCTGGGAAACATCATCGGATGTGTACTCAGTGCAGACGTGTACTCCAGGTAAGTAACAAACCCGGAGCGCATTTGGGGTGGGGTGCCCCCTCCTCCCTCGGAAATTTGATTAAGAGTTTTTGACGGTCATTAATTTCTGGCCGACCGATTCTAAAATTTGTTAGCAAACTTTTGTTTTCGCAAATTGAAGTGATTGAATTAGGTCAGTTATGAATGATGCAGCGAAGTACATGTTAAACTTTATGGTTCATTTTTTAAAGAGCTAGAAATTTAATAGGAGCTTTAATTGCAATTGGATGCCTGAAAGTAGACTGCCTGAAATTTAGATGCCTGCAATTTGCGTTTTTTCTGCAAATTAAAGTGAAATTTTAGTTAAGTTTGGAACCAGTTTAATATTAAGTGTCAATGAAGGGTAGTGAAAACACTAATAAAGATCGTTATGATAATAATTTTTTTTAAGAGTCGGTGAACGTAGTTCAGACTCCTATATAGGTTGCGATGATTTTTTCTGTTTCTTCAGAAAAAGTCCGGGCTTAAAAACACTTTCGGTATTCGACTTTTTATTTCTTTTTAATCTTCATTTTATGTCTTTTATCAAAAGGAAGGCAATCTCCACTGTAGGAAAGGGCGCGAAGAGCGTGATCGACTTCTAGTTTCGAAAATGGAATTTATTGATCGGTTTTCCTAGCGAAATAAAAGTTTTACATATTGATCCATTTCTCAAATTGGGTTAATTTCATCACAAAAGAAACAAGCATAAATTGTTCTAGAAATTCAAAGAACTATTAGGCCATCTATTTTTTTCTTTGAAAACCGAAAGTTTTTCAAAAAGCAAGTCAGTTTTTTTTTGATTACTAACTGTCTGTTTGCTATGTTTGTTTTGCTGGAAAAGTCTTGCAATTTGTTCTTTCCGATTTCCATTTTCGCGGCTTGACTTTTGATTTTTTAAGGTCAGTTCTTTTCCTAAAAGGACAGCGAAAGTGTATTAATTAAGAAAAACGTAATCGACTTCTACTTAAGAAAATGGATTTCAATTTACAGATGTCCCAGCTGAATAAAACTTACCTTTTGATCCATTTCTCTCAAATTGGTTTAATTTTACCAAATAACTCAATCATAAATTGTTTATGAAACTCGAAGAGCTTTTTTATATGTATTTTTTTGATATTCGAAAAATTATTGACACATCCAACGCTCTATTGGCTATAATCAGACCAGCGAAGCGTAGTGTTTTATTATGAAGATTTTTTTTCCAATCCAAGCCTCAAATAAAAGTGCTCATTTGGTGGCACTTTTGGTATACTTCAATTTAATAATGTTAAGGCTTATTGGAGCATAGGCAATTTAATGAAATATGTTGCTGCTTTGTATTTGGCTAGTTTTAGGTCCTATTTGAATAAACCTGTCCTAAGAAAATGTATGGGATTTGTTTGTTTTCGTTTTTTGCAACGCTTTGAAACACTTTTTGCAGATATTTCAATTTTTGTCAAAAACTACTGATCCGATTTTAATAAAAAACGGTATCAATGGAAAAACCGGCTGCTCTTCTCTGTGCCTGCATATTTCGCTAGTTTCCTTTGATTTTACCTCACGTCTCACGTTCTACGGCCTTCTAAAGTTTCGGTAGGGAGATTTTTGGCCTACATCTTTTGAATTTTTTTCATTTTTCTAATATTAAATGCAGAGATGAAGATTACAAATCAAAAGACAAATTGTGGGGTATCCCCTTCTCAAGCGGCTACTAGCTAAATTCGGTAGAAAAAAGTTATGACTACAAGCAAGCCCTTTTTTTGACATTTTGGTTAATTTCTCAAAGACTGCCCTGCCAAATCGGGGATTAGGGGTCAAACCGAAAAAAAAATCACTTATGCGAATCTTACTTGCGCATGCAGCTATGCTCTGCCTCTTGAAAAAAATTGTGCGTTTAGAAAATGTCCAGTTTTTGAAATTTTGCTTGTTTTTGTCGGAAAGTTTTTTTTTTCAAAAACTAAACTGTTGAATCTGTGGTTGATAGTTCATTAAAACTAACATGGCTCTTGGATTTTGCCTGCGTAATCTGTTTTACCTTTTTCTATTATAAAAAGTTGTTATTGACTTCGGAAAAATTCTTTTTTAAATTTCTATCTTAATTTTTTGAAATTCGTCTTTATTCTCGAAAACTACTAGCTAGATCTGATCTTAAGGACTCAATCTACAACTCAGGGTGCGGAAATCTCAATCTAGAAATCATGCTGTGGAAAAGTTGATTGATTCCTTTTTACTTTTTTGCAAGCTACACAGTCAAATCTGAGATAAAGACTTCAATTGAAAGAGCGAGTTTTAGTGTTCTTCTTTAAATAAGCACTTCATCCCCTACTTGATCAGAGAAACACTAGCATTTAGCGTGAAGTGTATTTTTTGAAACTTTGAAAGTTCCGCATTTCCATATCAGAACAACCTACGAGTAGAAATTTAGAACAGGTAATCTAGCATTTGCGGATGTGACAATCCTAAGCAACAGGGCGGAATTTCAAATCCGGAATACTTAAATAGTTAAATTTTTTGGTCGCTTTTTTGCTGCATAACATGGGCAATTTGATCAATTGTAGCTGCCTATTGGTCACTAGTGTTAGTTAAATTACAAGCGGCTGTGGAGCAGATCTCAGAACGTGACACACCTAACTTCAACAAAAATTTTTCAAGGTGTTTTTAGTCTTTTCCATTGTTTTGCCTGTTTAGAGCTCTTTTGTGCATTTTCCTCGCTTGCGTTTGCGAAGCACAGCTTTGCCTCTGTTTTATTATTATTGTTTTTATTAGTATGATTATTATTAGGCTTCCGATTAGGTTGGATCAAATTTGTTTTAAAAGGCTTGATCAAATCGGAACATACTTATTTTGGAATGAACTTGTTCAACAGAATCACTGAAAAACACTTTCTAGAAAACTTTTTCGTCAGCTGTAGTCTGTCAAGCAGCAGATAATTTTTGAGCATGTTTGCATTCTAAATTCTCCTTTCAGTTGAGTTTTGTGCTGATGTTGGTTTTAAATCTATTCCGAATTTCTTGTTGACAATACGCGTCTGCTGAAGTAATGTTGGCTTAGTTACCAATTCGTAGATATTAGTTTATTTCTAATATAGCACTGAGAAATGTCTTTCTTGAAATGTTTGTCATAAAATGAACTTCACTCAAGACAAAAGTATGAAAATTGTTCTAACTTTTTTTGTGTTTGTTTTTTTCTGACCGGGTGTTTGTTCTGTCAGCTGGCTTGTCATGCTATATTGGTGATGTATCGAAGTGGTGCGAAGCTCCACCTTGTATCTGTGTTAATATTCAATCTGTTTTAATTTCAAATGGGCCGTGTGATGAGTCAGGTTATGAGGGACAAAATGGAATATTGGGAAGAAGTAATGTTTAGATTCTGTCGTGGTATGGGCTACAACAGTCTGTATATCTGTGGCACTGACGAGTATGGCACAGCCACAGAGACTAAAGCACTTGAAGAGGGAGTGAATCCGAAAGATATCTGTGACAAGTACTTCGTCATCCATAGAGACGTCTACCAGTGGTTCAATATATCCTTCGACTTCTTCGGAAGAACAACCACCAAGTACCAGACTAAGTCAGTTGTATTTTATCTCTTATTTCGGCTCTTTTTCCGTGTCAACACCCCCCCCCCCCCCCGCCCCACCTCGCACGACCATCAATTTTATGGCGTAAGGAGTGGGTTTAAAAGGATAAATATGAGACCTAAAAAAGTTTGTCATGGCCTGATTAGTCCGCGTTTCAATTTTCATAACAATCGGACAAAGTGAAAAAACGTTTTAAAAATTCGCAGGTGGGGGAAATGGAAAAAGAAACCTTACTTCATTTGTGAAGAGAGACAAGGGAGAAATATTACAAAAGGTGGCAATTTCGAGAACTATTATAGGAGCTTACGTAATGAACTTAAGAACTAAAATGTATAATATTGTCATAAAGGTTCTTTTGCTCCTTTACGGTTTGTAGTGGTATACTTTTTTCTATTAAGGTTTATAAAAATATTTTTTTTGTGAATCCTCATCAATAAGTAAATGCTCTTTTTGCTCGATTTAAGGAGCTTACTTATTAAACTTAAGAACTAAAATGCATAATAATGTCATTTCCTATTTTGTCAATTTTACATGCTACTAATTTTTTTTTTGTAAATGTATCATTCCACCAGATAACAAGATCATTGGGAGAGGAAGTAGTGTGATTTTTATCTCGCTTCATTTTTGAAAGTTTATTGCTGTGGAGAACTCTAGTTTTCTGGAATACGAGTCAGTTTTTTTGTAGTTAGTTTTGTTGCCGTTTATTAGCTGCTGCGTTATTTGAATAGCATTCACTGCTGCCTGATTGCTTTTTCTAGAAAAAGTAATGTCCGTTCCAATCGACTTCTCTACTTTTTCTCCGCTAGAAGCTTTGATTGCCGAAATCCTCATATGAGAACAAAATCTATATTTAAACTGGAATGCAAAAAAATGTTGGTCTTTGTTCTTATTTCGCCCAAAATTGTTGTTCCTAAAATACGGAAACAGACAACCCAATGCACAAGTCTGATTGATTGAAATTAAATACAACCGTAGCGCGTAGTTATAGAAACTCGTACGCACTTAGAAAATGATGCGCTTTTAAGCTATTTTGGGCGGAATAAGTAAAAATACCCAAAATTGTGAAATCTAGTCAAAATGCAGAATAACCGAAAATTTTTGTTTCGAAAATGTTGTCTACTTTTTTATGTCCTCCAATTTAATTTTCTGAGCTGCTCCAAATCACTAAAGACCCTATTTCGGCCACAATTTTTTTGCTCCAAGGCGAATTTAAAAAACATTCCAAAAAAAGGCGTTTTTAGCACTTTTTGGACTGTTTTGAAAAAAAAATTGGGTTTTTTTTTCGGCGCGCTCCCCCTCAATAATAGGACATATTGGCTCCGAATTCACCTTTAGAAAATTTTTCGGGTCAGCCAGCCAAAAATGGAGGTCTTAAATAGCACAAAAGTGGGGATCTTTTGGGTAGTCAGGGGGTCTGAATCCGCTTCTGAGTCTGCAGTTCGTCGTTTTTGGAGTGGATGCACGCAGGTCTTGATTTTTTTTCAGGAAAAAGTTGCAGTCATAAATTATATTTGAATTTCAAAGAGCTTTAAAGACATGATTTTTCTTTGATTTTTCGTTTCCTTGTTTCCAACTATCCGTTGACTATGTTTGGTCTTTCAGCACAGCTTTCTTTCCAAATATTCTTAATAATTTTAATGAGAATAAAAATTTGATCTAAGAAAAAAAAATTGATCGTTATTGATATTTAAAATTGTTTACCCTCAATTTTTTTACCCCAAAAAACGAACCAAGCGAGCCGCGCACAAGTTATTGCTAATAATAGTAGTTATTATTGTTTGTGTTACTACATGGAAAAAAAAATTTTGATACGAGAAAAATTCATAGAATAAGTTCCTTTGATAGGCCGATCGATTCACTTCGAGACTGTTTTTGTCACTTTAATCAATATTTTTGTACTCTTGTTGACTTGTTTAAGTACCGGCTTAAGGGCTGATTCAAAATTTACTGTGATGTTTTTTTATTTGATTGCAACATGTATGTTAAACAAGTTGGTTATTAAACGTTTACATGATTCTTCAAAAAGATCTGTCAATAAGAATTTAAACACGAACACAGCAATTATGTATTGATCTATCTGTGTCTCTTGGGAAATCAGTTATCGGGACCCCGATACATGATTTCGCCTAAAAAATAAAGGTCCCTACGATAATAAAGAATCCCCCTATTTGAAGTTTTAAAAGTAATGTCAACAACACCGGGAAGCGAACCACAGATCGGTCGTGTTCTAGAATCAAAGATTGAGCTATCAAAAATTGAATATATTATTTAGGATCTCGCAGGACATCTTCTGGAAGTTGGACCGGAATGGGTTCCTAGTGGAAGAGTCGATGGAACAACTGAAGTGTGTTGCCTGTGACAGGTTCTTAGCTGACAGATTTGTGGAGGGTGAGTGTCCCTTCTGTGGGTATGCGGATGCGAGGGGAGACCAGTGTGACGCGTGTGGAAAGCTAATTGACGCTAGCAATCTCAAGGTCAGTAGAGAAACCTTATATTCACTGTCAAAATCTACTTGAGGATTAGAAAGGAGTTAACGATTATAATGACGCAATTCGAGTGGTGTAATGGCAACTGCCAGCCTGTCGCTCGGAAATTGTACCCAAATGATAGTAACAGTGATGTATTCAGAAGTTATGTGATGTTTGCACGAGACAATACAAGCGAGAAAACAGAAAATGCTTTTAAATGATCACGGGCTCCTCAGAAAAAGCTATCATGATGTTAATGATGTTATTACTAGGCACAGGTGTTGCAAGTTTTTACCAAGGTGATTTTGACTGTAGAATCGAGTACATCAAAGAGAAGGCGGTTTCGTGGATTCCGCTGCATAGCCTTTTTCCGTTATTCGTTTGCGCCACTACGATTTGTATTGGGATCCAGTCTAATCAGGGGTGTCAAATATATTTTATTGTTTATCCTCAACAATAAATAAATGCACTTATTAATCGATTGATAAAAATATGACAAGAGCATCTATTTTTCTTACAAATCTTACTTGCTTTTCTTACTGGCTTTATTATTGAAGCTTAATAACTTCTAGGTTTGCTCCCACTTGGACTAGAGGTAAAATGGTTGCCTTTGCACTCTAAAGTCTGAGTTTGAGTTTCGGCCGGACCTTGTTTTTTAGTATGTATGAAATTGAAATCGGTTTTCGGTAAAAATTGAATTGTCGGACTTCTACAACTTTCCCACATCACGTTTCTTGGACTATAATCAATTTTTATTATATTTGCTATTGTTGTTAATTGTAGTTTTAGAGGGGAATTAAAAAATTTTCAAAAAATTGTTTCGGCGCAACCTTCTTTTTCCAACCTAAGTCGCAAAAACTTGGTGCCACTTTGAGGTACCTTGACTGCTTTTTCATTTGACTCGAATAGTAATAAGTTAACTCAGTTGATGCATTTTTAATTCATTAAATGAACCGAAAAATAGTGATTTGTTTCAAACAACATTAAATCAATATGTCTGCGTTATTTATACTTAATGTGGCTTTATGCTTTGCGATTTGTTAGATGCAAAGTTAGTGTGGATGCCTTCAGTTTGTTTTCTTCCAAATTATTACTTGCATAAATGAGTCTTTTTGTATTTGGTGCCACTTCTGCTGAATCCCATCAGCAATTTTTCAGCATATGTAGCTGCTTTATTCGTGATTAGTGTTTATCGGTTGTTAAGCTTTTGTGGCTTAGGGGATTGTGCGTGAGACTCAAAATCTCTTGATTGCAATTTCGAACCCTACACATAGCCGAGTTTTTGCTAAATCGATGCTTACTTCTACTTTTTCTTATTTCTCTTGACAGGGCTGCCTTTTGGTCGTGCTTTTGCATGTGTGTGCGAAGCGCAGCTTGGCCTCTGTGTTAAATTTTGAAATATTTTACTTGGTATGTTTGTCTATAATGAATTTTTATCGACACATACGAAAATTTTGGTAGACCTACTTTTTTCAACATTTCTTTTTTTTAGACTTACGATCAGCTTAGTGCGTTATTACGAACCTTCTGTGTTTCTAACCTGGCTCGCAAATGAAAGTGTTCATTAAAAGTGATCAGTTATTTGGAAATTTCAATGTAGCATTGGAAATTGCATAGCATCTGTTCTCGGCTTTATTTGTGGCTAGTGTTTGGTATCTATTGGGGTAGTACAGTGTTGCGCACCCCAGCTCTGGTATCACGAAGATCCATGGATCGATCACCCACTCAGCAAGTTTTTCTTTGAAAATTAGTCTGAATAAAAAACCACGCCAAGCATATAAATTCATCACTTTCTTCGAAGTCGGAACATTAAGACCAATTTCATTTCAATGGTTCTGATGAGTGTTCTTATTGTGCCAAAAATGGTAGTTATCCCATATGGTATGTACTTTTTCAGAATCCAAGATGCAAAATATGTTCAGCAACACCTCGGCTGGAGTCTTCGAATCATTTGTTCCTCAACCTGCCTATGGTAAGTACATCCATATTTACTGATGTCATTCAAATCAATTCTCTTCTCCCCGCCACGTCTTTGAGCATCAATTTTTTTGTGTATCAAGGGGTTTGTTTATTGTTTCCATGGTCGAGTAACAAGTTCAAATATGTTTGTAAGGGCTTAATTAGTCCGCATGACAGTTTTTGTAACAATTGGGAGAAAGTGTAAAAATACGCAGCTGAAGGGAAGACGAAATATTATTAGAACTTTTTTTTCAGTTTGAATAGAAATCAAAGGTGTGTATAGCTTGTGAAATTTAAACTGTTAGGCTGAAATGGTTTCTTTTGTAGTTGGAACAAGAACTGGGCGAAACTCTTCAAACTCGCATGTCTAAAGGCGTATGGACTGACTCAGCTACTAACATCACCAACGCTTGGCTCAGAGACGGGCTTAAAAACAGGTTACATGACTAAAATATATTTTACAACTATAACTGATGATTATTTCCCTTCTTCAGATGTAGAAAATTGTTTGGTTTGGAGGTTATTGTTGAATGATAGTTCGAGGAACATTATGCATTAAACACTTGACTATTGAATGAATGTTTTTTTTTGTCTAATTGCGCTAGTTTATTGGAAAAACTGTCAATCATAAAAGATTTTTGAAATTCGAAGAGCTATCATATGATGGTTTTCTTAGAAAGTTCAAAGAATTGTTCAATGGTATTTTTTGGCAACAAAGTTTCATTGACGCTTTGGCAACAATTAAAATTTGTGTATTTTATTGAAGGGCGGGAAACTAGCAAACTTTTCTATTCTGCGAATCGTTTGACTATCAGCTTACGTATTTCCATGCGCAGATGTATCACGAGAGACTTGAAGTGGGGTACACCAGTTCCGAAGGAGCCGTTCACAGACAAAGTGTTCTACGTGTGGTTTGATGCCCCCATTGGATACATTTCTATCACGGCCAACTACTGTGGGGACAAATGGACACAGTGGTGGAAGAACCCGAATGAGGTATTCTATTCTGGTCTTTTTTCACGAAACCCTCTTTGATTGTGTTCTGAAATTATTTTGACGAAAGCCTATTTAATAATGACTGCTGTAATAACATGTCGTATTAAACAAGTGAACAAAGTTTCGTTACCATAACTCTTTCATGCATAGTGCAGTATAAGCAATTTAAAACAACACTTTAGTATATTGGGGGTTCGTGTCCCTCTGTTGCCGCCAAATTTGTACTTTAATGAGGCGGTGGGAACCCGGAAAAGAGTCTCCGTTTTTACTGGAATTCATTTGTGGTTTTCGATCAAAAGTTTGACCAGGAATGAGGTATTGGCAATTTTAGATCAGATTTTCGAACATCGCGTCCTTCATCTGAAGTTGAGAAAAAGGTTGTTTTCAATCAGAAATGAAGAAATTCTTATAGACCCGGAGTTTTCAGCTCTTTATATATAACCTCTGATTTCCAGCTGCTTGTGCAGAACCTCTGAGTTTCTTGTCTTAGTATACGTCCATAAGTTTTGTGATTTTACATTCGTGTATTGGGAAAATGTACTTCAAACCAAGTAATGAGCAACGATCATAGTGAGTCTGGAATGATCGAACTTCTCTTTCTGGTTGTCACCAGAATCATTTAAATTGATGACAAATAACTTATATCTAATAAAGGATAATTAAATAGTTTTAATAGAGAAAAGCACCTAAATTGTTCAAGGTTGAGATGTTCAACTTCATGGCCAAGGACAACGTGCCCTTCCACAGTGTCATCTTCCCATGTACTCTATTGGGAGCGAAGGATGGATACGGAATAGTTGACAGTCTCGTCTCAGTCGGTTAGTGGCTCTTTCTTCCAAAATGAATTCATTTGGAAGGCAAACATTCTTAAATTTTTTCGTTAAGGACACTTGCTTCTTGACCTGTAAGGTTTTTTATATGAGAAAACATTTGGTTATTGTTTTTTTTTTATAGCATTTAATTTATAGCTAAGTTTTTAACATTTCCTAGTATCAAGAAAGGGTTATTGTAACGTTCCAATTTCAACAATTCGAACCAAGCTGTTTACATGGAAAATTGGAAAATCCGCTTTTTTAATTGGAACCAGATCAGATAAACTCAAATGAAAAACTTACAAAAAGTCAAACTTAAATAGCTATCACGTGCAACCAAATCATTCAAAACGTTAGCTCTTTTTCCTTCCCCACCCCCCCACCCCCCCACACACACACACCTCACGCCAGTTTCAACTTATTTCAACTTATAGTGTAACGAGTAGTTTTACGAGGTTGAGTATGAAGACCAAATAAGTTTGTCGTGGCCTTATTAGTCTGTATGTAAATTTTCATAACAATCGGACAATGTGGTCAACAAATTTACACGTAAAAATTTGCAGGTGGGGGGGGGGGGAGGAAAAAGAGCCAAAACGTTCAAGTTCTATTGAAAGAGTAAAAGTGTAACATAAAAAAAAATAAAAGAATATTTGTACCAATCTAAACAGTTCGTTTATACCGTTCGGTTTCTACAGTTAACTAAAACAAAGTTCCTCCCCTTTTTTCAAATGGTCGGAACAATAACATAACGTAGGAAAAAGTAGACAAGTTATAAAATAGACACGTCATAAAGTAAACAACTACTATATTCACCAATCAGGATCGGAGAGAACAAGAAGCAAACTTAAAAAAAATAAATATTAAGTATTTATTTCCTGAGTTTGCTTTCTGTTCTCAATTCTGATTGATTTATATAGTATTTGTCTACTTCTGGACCGGAATGAAATAAAGGTTTTCTACTTTTTGACAGCACTCCGAACAGTAAGAACTTTTTGTTTAATTTCAGAATATCTCAATTATGAGGAGGGAAAATTCAGCAAAAGTAGAAACGTGGGAGTCTTCGGAAACAACGCCCGGGACAGTGGGATCCCTGCTGACGTCTTCCGCTTCTACCTCCTCTTTGTGAGACCCGAGTCGCAAGACTCCACCTTCTCGTGGGTGGACTTCGCGATAAAGAGCAACACGGAGCTCCTGAACAATCTCGGCAACTTCATCAACCGAGCGTTGAGTTTTTGTTTTAACAGTTTTAAAGCTGAAGTGCAAGAGATTTCTTCACTTGAAAAGGCGGACGAGGATGTTATTGACAACGTGAACAAAGAGTTGCAGAGCTACATTGAATGCATGGAGAAAGTCAGGCTAGTTGTTCTGTGTAGTTTTCTTATGATTTCTCAAGATAGATTTCTTTAGCTCAAAAAATATTTAGCTGTAAAATATTGTTTTTAGGATCCGAGATGCTCTGTCGAAAATTCTGAATGTTTCAAGATGGGGCAATGGGTATATTCAGAGTACACAGCCATGGGTACTCAACAAATCATCAGAACCCGAAAAGTTTGTTTACAATATTTAAATGTTTTTTTTTAAGATTTCTTTTTTAATAGGTTTATAAAGACTAAAACACAGGTTAAAAGTCAAAAACGACTTCAAAAAAGTTCTAGAATTTGACATATTATTGCAGGTTTTTACCGATTGAAATTGTTCATCTTCAAGGGAGTGTTTTGTTATTTGCTAGTTTCTTGAGGTTTCTTGAAATTAATTTGGTTGACAGCCTGTAAGACGAAAATGGTCTTTTATGGTGTTTGTTTTTGCTTTTGTATTTTTTTTGAATCCTTCAAAAAAGCATAGAAATTTGCATACGTTGATATTGGCTTAGCCTCATTGTTTATTTTTTTCAGCAAAGCGAGAGCAGGTGCCATAAACGCGATTTGTGTCAACATCGTTCACATCTGTGCTCAGATGTTGGAACCTTTTATGCCCCAGACGGCGTTTGAGATCTTCAACCAGATGGGGTTGTATGCGTCATCAGATGATCAGAATGGACTGCCTCTTCTGCCTAAGAGTTTCATCAGGACCATACCTACAGGTTGGTTTTAAAAGTTATGGTATGTTATTAACTAGTTTCCGGAAAAAAACGACAGCACCTTATTTATTGTCTGAGAGCTTCACCAGTTAAATTTAATAAGGGGGTATTTAATAGTTGGGGATTTTAGTCCTGGGAATTTTTTTCCGGTAGATTTTTGTCCGGAGGGATTTTATGCAGGGGAGTTAATTCCGTGAATTGAAACCTAAATTCTAGCTTAATGTTTTTCCGCTGAAAACAGTGCACCCCAATTGTTTCCAAATTTGAGCTAATATTCTTATTTAAGGTCACAAAATTAACAAGCCAGTTCCACTGTTCAAGAAATTGGAGGAAAGTGAAGTTATGAAGTTGAAAGAGATGTACGGCGGGGCTCAACAGGGAAAGAGTCCGGGGGGCAATACTGGCGGAGGGGCAGCGCTAGTGGGGGTGAATGGGAAAAGTGTTCAGGAGTTGCAGTCTGCAATCACAGAACAGGTAGTTGGGCTTTAAATGAATAGCTTTAGGGATAGCTAAAATAAACATAGGTCTTGTGAACTGTAATACCGAATAAACTTTTAAAAGTTCGGAGAATTTCAAAAGACTGAACCAAACACTAAGTGCAGCAATTCTCAAGCGGTACAAGATTATTATATTAGGCTAATCGAATATTGAAGTTTAATGGATGAAGACAAAACAAAAAAGTTTGTCTGCCGAAAAAGTATCACCATTTTAGCTTTTTAGCGTAAAGCAATACTGACTAAAAAATAAAACGTGTTTTCTTGGTTGTTGAAATTCAGTACAAGCTTTTATTTCAGCAATGTTTTAAAAAAGATTTTCCAACAAATAACGAAAATCACCAGTTGAATTGAAGAATGTCAAATGATAAATTAATCAATCATAATGTATATGAAGATTATTTCTTTCAAATTAAATAGTTAAATTTTGAACAGGGAGACATTGTGAGGAAATTGAAAGCGGCGAAGCCACCCGACAAAAAGAAGATAAGCGAAGAGGTGGAGATTTTGAAAAAGTTGAAATCTGACTTTGAGAAAGCATCGAACGAGGTTAAGGAGGCCTCAAAAGAGAATAATGCACAAGCAGCTAATCAGAATAAAGCTGAGGATTGTATGCTGAAATGTCCGTATGCTGGCATGTCCGAGGAAACGTTGAAAAATATGTGCACAGAACAGGTTAAGAAAAACATGAGAATTTATTTCATATGATTTTGAAACTTGTTTTCTGTTAGAAGTGGTCAAGTTATTGAATTTTCGTTTTTTTTTCTTTTTTATAAATGTCAATGAACTAAGTGAAGACACTTATTTCTGTCGTTTTTTTTACGCTGATGTTCGTTGTTTTGCGTTTTGAGTTTTTCTCCAATTGGGTTAGCTTTATGAAAAAAGTGCCATCTCAAAAGTCAATTGAAACAAGTGTTTTTTCTCAAAAACTCGAAACTTGAAAATTTTTCAAAAAATAAATAATTTGTTTGTGTTCTTTAATTTCATCGACACTTCGCCATCTGTATGCTGGCTATTTTTTCGTGAAGCTAACTGCTTTTAAAGAATTGTCACATTGAACCTCCAAACCAGTAATTATTGGGCAAAAAATGCTTGCGATGAACTTATGTAATAAAAACTCATATTATTTGTTCCGAAAAGTTTGCTTATCCAAACAGATTCGCATGTTTGAAAACAACAAATAATAATAAAAGTGAGGTATGTTTTTGAGTACGAAGTATGTCATAAATTGAGTATGTTGAGTAAATTTGTTGTATTGGTAGGGGAACAAAGTGAGAGCTTTGAAAGCAGCTAAACCTCAAAACAAAGCTGAAATTTCGGCCCAAGTTGAAATCCTGAAACAATTGAAAACCCAGTTGGTCGTTGCTATGAAAGAAGAGAAAGAAAGGACGGCAACTTACGGAACGGGACCACCTGATCAGAATGGAAAGCAATTGATTGATGGCGATACACCTGGCGATAAGGATGTGAAAACGAACGTCACTGAAACGGCCAAGCAGTCGTCTCACCAAAGTAAAAGCCCGACAGCTAAATCGGCCGCAAAAGAGGAACGGGAACCCGAGGTGTTAAAAGCGACGGTTGATGAACAAAATAAAGTAGCAGAAGCAAAGAAAGAAGAAGCTAAAAGGGTGGAGGCGCCACTGAGTCCTGGGTCCAACGAAAAGAAGGATCCTTTGTCTCCTGAGTCAAGTTGTTCACAGTCAGCATCTGCTTTAGAAACCAGCTTCAGTTCAACTACCAGTGGAGGCTCTTCGGCAACTTCGGGAACAGAAGGAAGTGCGAAAAAGAAAAAGAAACACAGAAATAAAAAGAAGTGAAAAAATGGTCAGCAAGTTGGAGTTTTCTACTAAATACAAATGATTAAAGTGTTTCTTGGCTTAAAAAATGTGAATAAATGCTTGTGTTGGTTACTACGAATGCTTAATGGTTCCAATAACTATGTGACAATATATTTAAGTTTGTATATGAAATATGAGTAAATATTAACCATTCTTTTCAATTCTGACGAATCGAGTCTAGTTCTTATTATGCACACAAGTTAAATTCATTTTGTGTTTAAATCAAGATTTTGACTGCAAAGTTTGCTTTAAAGTGTTAATGAATAGTTTAGTTTTTTTGACAGGATGTGTCGAAATTAAGAAAGCAAATTGAAGGTCTCGTAGTTTTTTCGAAGTAAGTTGTGCATTTAGCAATTGACTTTTGTTTTTACCGGTTTCAGTTTTCAATCTGGTTATCGCAATCGTGACAGACGTGTTTTATAAACGGGTTCAAAACTTTTCCGGTTATTACTTTTGTCTACGCAGCCATTTACCAAACGTTACCAGAAGTAAATTTTGGCGCTATTTGCTTTTCGGAGGCACGAAAAGTTTCGATCCGCTTTTTTTCTGAATTACTTTTAATACAAAACCTCTTTGAAAAGTTTCGAGAAGTTTCATACTTTTTACTTTTTTTGGTTTCAAGTTACTGAAATGATGTTTCTTAATGCAAAAGAACGGGGCCATTTTCACTTAAACTGTTCTTGATGACTTTTTTTCCAGGAAAAAGTCATTAAAATTGTTCGAGCTCAAGTTTTTTTTTGCGGTTTGATTTATGGTTTATTTTTATTTCTACTTCATATTCGTTGTTAAGGCAAACGCCACTATCGAACAGCAAAAGTGAAAAGGCCACGAAAAACCTGATTGACTTCTAGTTTCAAAAAAGACTTTTTTTAACGTGATGTATTTTTATATTCGATAGTTGAAAATTTTCCAATTGTCTCAAAATTTCATTTTTGGCTGATATATTTTTGTATTTGGCGTTTCAACGTAATATATTCAACGTTATGTATTTTTTTATTCGAAAGCTGAAATTTTTCCAAATGTCTCAAAATTTCTTTTTCGGCAGTTTTGATTTGCTAGCCTTTTTTCATTGTTCAAAAAGAAATGGTTTTGCTGTTTTTCTTTGTGGTAGCGAAACGGTTTTGCTTTTATTTTTTCACAAGTAGAGGGAGACCTATATGCACTGTTTTTGTTTAGCTGCGAAAAGGTAGATCTATCACATTGATTCATTGTTCAAACAATGGTTGAAGCTCTGGAGAGTTTCTTTTTATCCTAGAGTGGTGTAAAGGTAGTGAGGTTTGTTTTGTGTTTTTATTACCCTAATCGGATTCGAGATTTTTTTTTGCAAATAATTTTTTCACTGAATGTTCAAAATTAAAAATGTAACTTCAGGTCCAGTTCATTGTAAATTCAATTTTTATTGCGTGTCCGGCACACTTGTTCTGGAAGTAACAATTACGCCTGGGACGGCTAAGGTTTTAGGACCTGTTATGTTTTTCAAACGGGAAATATTCTGTTTCAAAAAATTCCGTTTCAGAATATTTTCTTTTTTGTTTGTTTTTATTTGGCCTAATAACTTTTTTCTGCTCAAATGATTTCGGCTCATATTCTGTCGGCTCACTTGATAAAAGCTGCTTTGGTCGTGTTCTCGAAAGTGTTTGCGAAGCACAGCTTCGCCTCTGTGTTGTAATTTACTAATCTTGGAATTTACTTTGCCGGCTTAGTGACTTATTTTTGAGTACTTTCAAGGGAAACATAGTTTTTATCCTTCTCTCTGGATTGCACAAAACGCTAAAAATTGTTATAGAGTTCATAATTTTATATTATGACAAAAATTTGTTCGTGTTTTGTTTTTTCTTTTCCTGTTTTTTCCGCTTGATAGGTTTCGGCCTATATAAAGTCGGCTGAATAGCCTCATAATGCGTCTTTCGAGGAAGTTTATGTGCATGTGTGTGTTTGAGGGTGAGGGGGCTTCAGATGCTGTTTTCACATTCTATTGTCTTCGTATGTATGTTTCAAAACTAGCCTTGTTCATTTTGATAGAAAGTAGCGGCTTTCTCGTTTTGCATTCGAGTGTCAATGAACGGAGTGAATGCCCTCATTTTTTTCTGGGTTTTAACAAAGTCTTTAAATGTGATGAAGCTTCCGTATTTTGTTTTTCGCTGTTCGATTTCTGATTTTTTTCTTAGTTAAGTTCAAATAAATATGCTGAAAGGAAGTCAAAATACGAAAGTGGCAATGTTACAAAGATCTGAATGAAGTTTAATTTTGAAAATGGATTTCAACTTGAAGTTTTTCTAATAAAATAATTGTCTTTTGATTGGGTAAATTTCTTAAAATAACGACAAGTTTACAAATTTCTTGAAATTCAAAGAGCCGTAATCTGATGTGTTTTGTTTCATCAAAGTTCTAGCAATTTTGAATTTTTGAAGGAAGGTTTCATTGAGATTTTAGTTTTTCCGCCCTAATTTTCATCTGATATTTCTACTTAATACGTGTCCATACTTTATACGTGTCCAATTTTGATGATGAAAGTATATTGGTCGCGATGATGTTTTTATTTGAACATTATGTTTAAAATTGTTCACGCTCGAGTTTGATTTTTTGCGGTTCAATTCTGTATTAGTTCAGTCTATTTCCTTTGTTAAAAAGAAGGCCAACTCCCCTGTCAAAAGCAATCTCCCCTGTCGAAAATTGTAAGTCAACGAAAAACTTGATCGAGTTTAATTTTGCAAATTGGATTTAAGTTTTAAGATTTTCCAGCGGAATGAAAATTTTTCCTATTGCTCTAGTTTTCTCAAATTGAGTTAATTTTTCATAAATTGTTCTTGAAATTCAACTTTGATATTCGAAAGCTCAAGTTTAAAAAAATAAAATCACGTCAGTTTTGTTTCTGTTTGCTTGCGTTCCTTGACTTTATTCCAACTGTCTGTTGGCTATGTTTTAATTTTAAAGAGTAATGAACGCAGCGATTTTTTTCAGGAAAGAGTCTTAAAATTTGTCAAGCTCAATTTTGATTTTTCGTGTTTTGACTTTTGATTTTATCAAGTTCAGAGCGTTTCCATCGTTAAAAAGAAGGCAAACTCCATTATCGAACAGCAAAAGTTTAAAGGTCACGAAAATTGTGATCAACTTCTAATTTCGAAAATGGTGACAATTAATTATCAGATTTCCCAGCGAAATAAAAGTTTTACCAATTAGCAAAAAAGTGTCCATGGTAAATTGTTCCAAAAATTCCAAGAGCTTTAAGGCCACCTATTTTTTTGTTCGAAATTCAAAAATTTATGGTTTCTGAAAAAAAAACAAGTCTGAAAAGTGTAACATAAAAAAAAATAAAAGAATATTTGTACCAATCTAAACAGTTCGTTTATACCGTTCGGTTTCTACAGTTAACTAAAACAAAGTTCCTCCCCTTTTTTCAAATGTTCGGAACAATAACATAACGTAGGAAAAAGTAGACAAGTTATAAAATAGACACGTCATAAAGTAAACAACTACTATATTCACCAATCAGGATCGGAGAGAACAAGAAGCAAACTTAAAAAAAATAAATATTAAGTATTTATTTCCTGAGTTTGCTTTCTGTTCTCAATTCTGATTGATTTATATAGTATTTGTCTACTTCTGGACCGGAATGAAATAAAGGTTTTCTACTTTTTGACAGCACTCCGAACAGTAAGAACTTTTTGTTTAATTTCAGAATATCTCAATTATGAGGAGGGAAAATTCAGCAAAAGTAGAAACGTGGGAGTCTTCGGAAACAACGCCCGGGACAGTGGGATCCCTGCTGACGTCTTCCGCTTCTACCTCCTCTTTGTGAGACCCGAGTCGCAAGACTCCACCTTCTCGTGGGTGGACTTCGCGATAAAGAGCAACACGGAGCTCCTGAACAATCTCGGCAACTTCATCAACCGAGCGTTGAGTTTTTGTTTTAACAGTTTTAAAGCTGAAGTGCAAGAGATTTCTTCACTTGAAAAGGAGGACGAGGATGTTATTGACAACGTGAACAAAGAGTTGCAGAGCTACATTGAATGCATGGAGAAAGTCAGGCTAGTTGTTCTGTGTAGTTTTCTTATGATTTCTCAAGATAGATTTCTTTAGCTCAAAAAATATTTAGCTGTAAAATATTGTTTTTAGGATCCGAGATGCTCTGTCGAAAATTCTGAATGTTTCAAGATGGGGCAATGGGTATATTCAGAGTACACAGCCATGGGTACTCAACAAATCATCAGAACCCGAAAAGTTTGTTTACAATATTTAAATGTTTTTTTTTAAGATTTCTTTTTTAATAGGTTTATAAAGACTAAAACACAGGTTAAAAGTCAAAAACGACTTCAAAAAAGTTCTAGAATTTGACATATTATTGCAGGTTTTTACCGATTGAAATTGTTCATCTTCAAGGGAGTGTTTTGTTATTTGCTAGTTTCTTGAAATTAATTTGGTTGACAGCCTGTAAGACGAAAATGGTCTTTTATGGTGTTTGTTTTTGCTTTTGTATTTTTTTTGAATCCTTCAAAAAAGCATAGAAATTTGCATACGTTGATATTGGCTTAGCCTCATTGTTTATTTTTTTCAGCAAAGCGAGAGCAGGTGCCATAAACGCGATTTGTGTCAACATCGTTCACATCTGTGCTCAGATGTTGGAACCTTTTATGCCCCAGACGGCGTTTGAGATCTTCAACCAGATGGGGTTGTATGCGTCATCAGATGATCAGAATGGACTGCCTCTTCTGCCTAAGAGTTTCATCAGGGCCATACCTACAGGTTGGTTTTAAAAGTTATGGTATGTTATTAACTAGTTTCCGGAAAAAAACGACAGCACCTTATTTATTGTCTGAGAGCTTCACCAGTTAAATTTAATAAGGGGGTATTTAATAGTTGGGGATTTGCAATTCTGGGATTTTAGTCCTGGGAATTTTTTTCCGGTAGATTTTTGTCCGGAGGGATTTTATGCAGGGGAGTTAATTCCGTGAATTGAAACCTAAATTCTAGCTTAATGTTTTTCCGCTGAAAACAGTGCACCCCAATTGTTTCCAAATTTGAGCTAATATTCTTATTTAAGGTCACAAAATTAACAAGCCAGTTCCACTGTTCAAGAAATTGGAGGAAAGTGAAGTTATGAAGTTGAAAGAGATGTACGGCGGGGCTCAACAGGGAAAGAGTCCGGGGGGCAATACTGGCGGAGGGGCAGCGCTAGTGGGGGTGAATGGGAAAAGTGTTCAGGAGTTGCAGTCTGCAATCACAGAACAGGTAGTTGGGCTTTAAATGAATAGCTTTAGGGATAGCTAAATTAAACATAGGTCTTGTGAACTGTAATACCGAATAAACTTTTAAAAGTTCGGAGAATTTCAAAAGACTGAACCAAACACTAAGTGCAGCAATTCTCAAGCGGTACAAGATTATTATATTAGGCTAATCGAATATTGAAGTTTAATGGATGAAGACAAAACAAAAAAGTTTGTCTGCCGAAAAAGTATCACCATTTTAGCTTTTTAGCGTAAAGCAATACTGACTAAAAAATAAAACGTGTTTTCTTGGTTGTTGAAATTCAGTACAAGCTTTTATTTCAGCAATGTTTTAAAAAAGATTTTCCAACAAATAACGAAAATTACCAGTTGAATTGAAGAATGTCAAATGATAAATTTATCAATCATAATGTATATGAAGATTATTTCTTTCAAATTAAATAGTTAAATTTTGAACAGGGAGACATTGTGAGGAAATTGAAAGCGGCGAAGCCACCCGACAAAAAGAAGATAAGCGAAGAGGTGGAGATTTTGAAAAAGTTGAAATCTGACTTTGAGAAAGCGTCGAACGAGGTTAAGGAGGCCTCAAAAGAGAATAATGCACAAGCAGCTAATCAGAATAAAGCTGAGGATTGTATGCTGAAATGTCCGTATGCTGGCATGTCCGAGGAAACGTTGAAAAATATGTGCACAGAACAGGTTAAGAAAAACATGAGAATTTATTTCATATGATTTTGAAACTTGTTTTCTGTTAGAAGTGGTCAAGTTATTGAATTTTCGTTTTTTTTTTCTTTTTTATAAATGTCAATGAACTAAGTGAAGACACTTATTTCTGTCGTTTTTTTTACGCTGATGTTCGTTGTTTTGCGTTTTGAGTTTTTCTCCAATTGGGTTAGCTTTATGAAAAAAGTGCCATCTCAAAAGTCAATTGAAACAAGTGTTTTTTCTCAAAAACTCGAAACTTGAAAATTTTTCAAAAAATAAATAATTTGTTTGTGTTCTTTAATTTCATCGACACTTCGCCATCTGTATGCTGGCTATTTTTTCGTGAAGCTAACTGCTTTTAAAGAATTGTCACATTGAACCTCCAAACCAGTAATTATTGGGCAAAAAATGCTTGCGATGAACTTATGTAATAAAAACTCATATTATTTGTTCCGAAAAGTTTGCTTATCCAAACAGATTCGCATGTTTGAAAACAACAAATAATAATAATAAAAGTGAGGTATGTTTTTGAGTACGAAGTATGTCATAAATTGAGTATGTTGAGTAAATTTGTTGTATTGGTAGGGGAACAAAGTGAGAGCTTTGAAAGCAGCTAAACCTCAAAACAAAGCTGAAATTTCGGCCCAAGTTGAAATCCTGAAACAATTGAAACCCAGTTGGTCGTTGCTATGAAAGAAGAGGAAGAAAGGACGGCAACTTACGGAACGGGACCACCTGATCAGAATGGAAAGCAATTGATTGATGGCGATACACCTGGCGATAAGGATGTGAAAACGAACGTCACTGAAACGGCCAAGCAGTCGTCTCACCAAAGTAAAAGCCCGACAGCTAAATCGGCCGCAAAAGAGGAACGGGAACCCGAGGTGTTAAAAGCGACAGTTGATGAACAAAATAAAGTAGCAGAAGCAAAGAAAGAAGAAGCTAAAAGGGTGGAGGCGCCACTGAGTCCTGGGTCCAACGAAAAGAAGGATCCTTTGTCTCCTGAGTCAAGTTGTTCACAGTCAGCATCTGCTTTAGAAACCAGCTTCAGTTCAACTACCAGTGGAGGCTCTTCGGCAACTTCGGGAACAGAAGGAAGTGCGAAAAAGAAAAAGAAACACAGAAATAAAAAGAAGTGAAAAAATGGTCAGCAAGTTGGAGTTTTCTACTAAATACAAATGATTAAAGTGTTTCTTGGCTTAAAAAATGTGAATAAATGCTTGTGTTGGTTACTACGAATGCTTAATGGTTCCAATAACTATGTGACAATATATTTAAGTTTGTATATGAAATATGAGTAAATATTAACCATTTTTTTTCAATTCTGACGAATCGAGTCTAGTTCTTATTATGCACACAAGTTAAATTCATTTTGTGTTTAAATCAAGATTTTGACTGCAAAGTTTGCTTTAAAGTGTTAATGAATAGTTTAGTTTTTTTGACAGGATGTGTCGAAATTAAGAAAGCAAATTGAAGGTCTCGTAGTTTTTTCGAAGTAAGTTGTGCATTTAGCAATTGACTTTTGTTTTTACCGGTTTCAGTTTTCAATCTGGTTATCGCAATCGTGACAGACGTGTTTTATAAACGGGTTCAAAACTTTTCCGGTTATTACTTTTGTCTACGCAGCCATTTACCAAACGTTACCAGAAGTAAATTTTGGCGCTATTTGCTTTTCGGAGGCACGAAAAGTTTCGATCCGCTTTTTTTTTCTGAATTACTTTTAATACAAAACCTCTTTGAAAAGTTTCGAGAAGTTTCATACTTTTTACTTTTTTTGGTTTCAAGTTACTGAAATGATGTTTCTTAATGCAAAAGAACGGGGCCATTTTCACTTAAACTGTTCTTGATGACTTTTTTTCCAGGAAAAAGTCATTAAAATTGTTCGCGCTCAAGTTTTTTTTTGCGGTTTGATTTATGGTTTATTTTTATTTCTACTTCATATTCGTTGTTAAGGCAAACGCCACTATCGAACAGCAAAAGTGAAAAGGCCACGAAAAACCTGATTGACTTCTAGTTTAAAAAAAGACTTTTTTTAACGTGATGTATTTTTATATTCGATAGTTGAAAATTTTCCAATTGTCTCAAAATTTCATTTTTGGCTGATATATTTTTGTATTTGGCGTTTCAACGTAATATATTCAACGTTATGTATTTTTTTATTCGAAAGCTGAAATTTTTCCAAATGTCTCAAAATTTCTTTTTCGGCAGTTTTGATTTGCTAGCCTTTTTTCATTGTTCAAAACGAAATGGTTTTGCTGTTTTTCTTTGTGGTAGCGAAACGGTTTTGCTTTTATTTTTTCACAAGTAGAGGGAGACCTATATGCACTGTTTTTGTTTAGCTGCGAAAAGGTAGATCTATCACATTGATTCATTGTTCAAACAATGGTTGAAGCTCTGGAGAGTTTCTTTTTATCCTAGAGTGGTGTAAAGGTAGTGAGGTTTGTTTTGTGTTTTTATTACCCTAATCGGATTCGAGATTTTTTTTTGCAAATAATTTTTTCACTGAATGTTCAAAATTAAAAATGTAACTTCAGGTCCAGTTCATTGTAAATTCAATTTTTATTGCGTGTCCGGCACACTTGTTCTGGAAGTAACAATTACGCCTGGGACGGCTAAGGTTTTAGGACCTGTTATGTTTTTCAAACGGGAAATATTCTGTTTCAAAAAATTCCGTTTCAGAATATTTTCTTTTTTGTTTGTTTTTATTTGGCCTAATAACTTTTTTCTGCTCAAATGATTTCGGCTCATATTCTGTCGGCTCACTTGATAAAAGCTGCTTTGGTCGTGTTCTCGAAAGTGTTTGCGAAGCACAGCTTCGCCTCTGTGTTGTAATTTACTAATCTTGGAATTTACTTTGCCGGCTTAGTGACTTATTTTTGAGTACTTTCAAGGAAAACATAGTTTTTATCCTTCTCTCTGGATTGCACAAAACGCTAAAAATTGTTATAGAGTTCATAATTTTATATTATGACAAAAATTTGTTCGTGTTTTGTTTTTTCTTTTCCTGTTTTTTCCGCTTGATAGGTTTCGGCCTATATAAAGTCGGCTGAATAGCCTCATAATGCGTCTTTCGAGGAAGTTTATGTGCATGTGTGTGTTTGAGGGTGAGGGGGCTTCAGATGCTGTTTTCACATTCTATTGTCTTCGTATGTATGTTTCAAAACTAGCCTTGTTCATTTTGATAGAAAGTAGCGGCTTTCTCGTTTTGCATTCGAGTGTCAATGAACGGAGTGAATGCCCTCATTTTTTTCTGGGTTTTAACAAAGTCTTTAAATGTGATGAAGCTTCCGTATTTTGTTTTTCGCTGTTCGATTTCTGATTTTTTTCTTAGTTAAGTTCAAATAAATATGCTGAAAGGAAGTCAAAATACGAAAGTGGCAATGTTACAAAGATCTGAATGAAGTTTAATTTTGAAAATGGATTTCAACTTGAAGTTTTTCTAATAAAATAATTGTCCTTTGATTGGGTAAATTTCTTAAAATAACGACAAGTTTACAAATTTCTTGAAATTCAAAGAGCCGTAATCTGATGTGTTTTGTTTCATCAAAGTTCTAGCAATTTTGAATTTTTGAAGGAAGGTTTCATTGAGATTTTCGTTTTTCCGCCCTAATTTTCATCTGATATTTCTACTTAATACGTGTCCATACTTTATACGTGTCCAATTTTGATGATGAAAGTATATTGGTCGCGATGATGTTTTTATTTGAACATTATGTTTAAAATTGTTCACGCTCGAGTTTGATTTTTTGCGGTTCAATTCTGTATTAGTTCAGTCTATTTCCTTTGTTAAAAAGAAGGCCAACTCCCCTGTCAAAAGCAAGCTCCCCTGTCGAAAATTGTAAGTCAACGAAAAACTTGATCGAGTTTAATTTTGCAAATTGGATTTAAGTTTTAAGATTTTCCAGCGGAATGAAAATTTTTCCTATTGCTCTAGTTTTCTCAAATTGAGTTAATTTTTCATAAATTGTTCTTGAAATTCAACTTTGATATTCGAAAGCTCAAGTTTAAAAAAATAAAATCACGTCAGTTTTGTTTCTGTTTGCTTGCGTTCCTTGACTTTATTCCAACTGTCTGTTGGCTATGTTTTAATTTTAAAGAGTAATGAACGCAGCGATTTTTTTCAGGAAAGAGTCTTAAAATTTGTCAAGCTCAATTTTGATTTTTCGTGTTTTGACTTTTGATTTTATCAAGTTCAGAGCGTTTCCATCGTTAAAAAGAAGGCAAACTCCATTATCGAACAGCAAAAGTTTAAAGGTCACGAAAATTGTGATCAACTTCTAATTTCGAAAATGGTGACAATTAATTATCAGATTTCCCAGCGAAATAAAAGTTTTACCAATTAGCAAAAAAGTGTCCATGGTAAATTGTTCCAAAAATTCCAAGAGCTTTAAGGCCACCTATTTTTTCGTTCGAAATTCAAAAATTTATGGTTTCTGAAAAAAAAAACAAGTCTGATTTTTTTTCAGTTTCCTCGCGTTTATTTTTCTTTTGTCAATGAAGATGGCGAAGACAATAATAAATATAATGTTCATTTTTTTTGTTTTTCACATTCAAGTTTGTAGTTTTTCTGTGAAGAAGCCAAATTACGCTCCCCTCATACAGAAGTTTACATGGCGCAAAAGTTGGGATAGACGTAATGTGGATTTTTTTGTTATAGTTCTCATCAGAATAAACAATTTACCTGTGTTAGTTTTATGGAAAACTTTGATGACGAAAAAATTTTCTTGAATTTTAGATAGTCTTAACGTGATATGTATTCTTTTGTAAGTCGAAAGTCGAGTCGTAAAAAAAATAATTCTAAAAGATTCTTAAAAAACGAAAAATCTTTTGTGATGTTTTTTCTTCGAGTTTCGTTTGTTTTTGGTTTGCTTTTTAACTGCAATTTTTCCGACTTTCTGATCGCTACGTTTAATACAAATTTTTTATAATGCGAAGCTTTGTTCTTCATCATTTTATTCAGACTTTTCAAAATGCAAATTTTTTGAAAAGAAAAATTTAGGTTGCTTTTCTCTGAATTGATTTTTAAGATCTACTGTTATTATTTTTGATTTATTTTTGAACACCATATTTTCATAGGCGGACTTTGAGTATAGCCTAGCTTCGTTCAAATTTAACCGTATTACTAAAGAAAAATGAATTAAAGCATTAGTTTGTCCAATTAACTGCATACAAATGCAATCCGGCATAAAAATGTAAAAACCAATTTTATTTGCGCATTTGCATATTTAATACAGAATTTTTTTCAGAATTAATTTATTCTTGGGAAGGGCATTCTACGATAGGTCACTGGGGGGGGGGGATTGGTTGATCCCTTTTTTCCCTAACACACTGAGAACACTTATTTTGTAATTAAATTAATGGTTTTAAAAGAAATGAAGAATTGATTTAAACGGATATTGAGCACTGTTGGTAGTTCTTCCGTTCCAGAAGGTGCATACTTTTTTCGGGTTGTCACTTTTCTGTAAACAATTTTCTAGTTGTTTGTTACCTATGTTATTTTGTGGTATCTAGTAAGTTTTTTTACCTCTTGTCTATTACATTACATTATGTGTTACATGTAATTTATTTCGACTTATTGAAGCAGCGTTAGTAAGTGGTTTTTCTTGGTTTGCTAAATGGTTTAAAATTATTTTCAAATGTCGATGATTTCAGCAGCAAAATTTCTATTTACCTATTAATCAGTTTCTTTATAACTGTGTTTGATTAAGCGAGTAATTAAATTATTAAATGTTCCGTTAAAAGTTGTCAAATACCAAGATTTGAATATAATTTGTCTTCTAAACAATTCATTTGACCGACCAAACTTTCAGAATTATGCTGCCTGATTTAAACAGTCTACAACATCGCGTCACAAAAACAATCAATTGACTAAGCACAGCTAACAAATAAAGATGAATCATGCAGATTTTAGCCATCGAACTTCCGTAATCGTTTGTTGCGCCAACTTCAAAACAACCGGACACCTAGTTTTAAGCGAAGTTGAGTAAACAACATAAAAATAGCTATCTTCCAAACCACTTTTGGTTACCGTTGTTCAAATAATTTACCATAGTTTTGACGTATAAAGAGGTCTAAAAATGTTTGAAGTCGACAACGAACTTCCCGAAATGGAAGTTTTTGTTAGAGAAGAAGTGAATTTGGAGATTCTTCGGAAATACGAAGGTTGTATTCGGAAACTGAAGATCGATTTGAACTCGGGTGCTATGGAGTACTCGAATGAAGCAGCTGATGAAGACCTAGAGAAGACGGTGGTTTGTGCTGGGGATAGAAAGTGCTATGGGGTTATTTATGGAATTATTGGAGTTTTCAAAGCACCGCCTTCTGACTTGCTGTGCTTGCTTGGTTAGTATTACCTGTGATATTACTATGAAAGAGTGGTCCCTCGAAAAAAGCAACTATGTTAGATAGGTCGTGCGTGCATTTTTCATGTAAAAATTTGAAAACTAATTTGTGTTTAAGGTATTCCTTTCGAAAATCTGGCAAAATATGTTGAGTCAGAAACTTTTCAGGTTAAAAATGTAATTACTATATTGTTTATGTCAAGAAATATGCTCGCGTCAACTTTTTTAACGGCTTTAACAGTCATGTTTTGTTTGAAAAAATACTGCGACATCTTTCTGAATGGCGAAATCACTATTTTGAACCAATTTGAGAGCTCTAGGTGTCTTGTTCTCAAGGGACCTGATTATTTTCAAGGGACCACTCATATCATAGTAGTACCATACCTGGTTTTATAGTTATTCGCATGACTTTTTTCGTAGTACTACCTTAAACCTAATAGTACTCAGGTTTAACACAAGCTCTTTTGTGTGTATATCTGTTTTAATTATAAACATGTGTTATTACATTTGAGAGGAAGCATAATGAAATCCAGTACTAGGTTTTGTAAGTAATTAAATGCCCAATCATTTGCAAGTAAAATATTTGCGAGCCATTTTTTTTTCAAAGTCTTCCTTAAGCACTAGCTTTGAAACTTGCCTATAATATGGGTTTACTGGAAACGATTGAATGGACTAGATCCGCAATCGGCTGTGTCTGAAACTAATTACACTTTCGAAAGCCAGTGTCTTGCAACCGGGAACTAGACTTTTTCCCTTAAACAACTTTTCTTACAAAACTTATTTGCTTTTGTTACTTGCTTTATTGTTGAAGCATTAGAACGTAGGAGTAATGCCGTCGACTTTGGAACCTAAGTTCAGGGGTTCGAATGACGGCCGAAGCTTGTTTTTTTTTTCAGCATATAAGCAATTGAAATTTTGCTCTGGTAAAAATTGACCAGTCAGACTTTAATTTGTCTGCTCAATTTCTGTCGGCTTAGTTGCCACATCACGGTATTTTCGTGTGCTATAAGCACTTTTCATTGTAATTTCAAGTGCAAGTATTGTTCCATGTAGTTTCAGGGGTGACTTAAAAATGTCTAAATTAAAAAAAATCGGATCCACTTGTTTCTGCTTAAAGGTTGTCGACTTTGTGTACTCTTCGTAAGTGCGTTCTGTCGCTAATTTGATTTTTAAAAGTCTGTCATCTGCCGTAAATGAACATCTATCGAGACTCACGAAAGTTAACTTTGTGGTAAACCTAGTTTTCCATCATTTTTCATTTTTTAACTAATGTTTTTTTTGTGTGTAAATGTGAGACGGTTACTGTTCAAGATATAGCTTAAGATGACATTTTTTTTTGTTTGCAGTGATAACAGACGTTAAGAAACTATTCACGCTTCCCTCTCCGATCGGAAAACCAGTTTACGCAGTCACAAACATCTCCATAATCAGAATAAACAGAGGTGCCATAGCCACAGAAGACATGCAACAACTGGCTAAGAGCCAGTTCCACCCAACGCCTTCCCAACTCCAAAATCCCCAGCCAACTCAACAACCCAGCGGTGGGGGTAATGCTACTTCAGCACAGCGGGGTCCAGCTGTTAATAGTAGTTTTGAAGGGGGCGCTTCGAGTACAGAAGCGAAACTAGCGAGGGAGGTGAAGAAGTTGTTTTGCGATGAGAGTTCACGAGCGAGGACTGATTTCTTTTTCGTTCCAGACGGTAATTTGTGCAGTACTTACCAAAGGTATGTTTCGACTCAAGAAAACGTCTGTATTGAAATAAGAGATCGCAATTTTTTCAATACATTTTTGTGTTTCAGTTTTTTGTCAAAGTCTGATTTTTCAGACTTCTAATTTATTTATATTCCAGAAGGCATTACAAAATTCTATCATATTGTACAAATTCATAGAACTGATTCAATGAAGTTTAATGAATACATGCCTGCTTAGGAGCATCAACAGAAAAATGGCACTGATTTTATTCCCCTAAACATCATTAAAACATCAATTTAATGTAATATAATCAAATAAAAAACATTACAAAGGTAGCTTAAATGGCAATGTACTTAAAATTGAGTGTATCGTTTTTTTTTGTAATTGCTTGTTTCTTATACATTTTTGTAACTGCTTATTAGGGACGGTCCCGGTCTGCGATGGCGTATCCCATTGCTCGGGCTTAGATTTTTCGGAGCTGTTATAACTGTTGTCGGAGCATTCTGTCCTTGCTAAATAAAGGATGGTTTGGGTGTGTGGTTTTTCGTTTGTTTTTTTTTCGAGAAAAAGGCTAAGTTGTTCACTCTCATTTTTGTTTGACTAAGTTCATCTCATTTTATTTTGCTAAATGCAGATAAATTACGACCTTCAAAAACAAAAGTAAATGGTATGGAAAAATTTGAAAGACTAGTTTCAACTCAAGTTTCAGACTTCGCAGCGGATTATAAAATTTTTGCTTTTTGATCTAGTTTTCTGAAATTGGGTCAATTTTATCAAGATTGTTTCAAGGCCCTATATGTTTAACCTGAAAATGCTTCAAAAAACTAAGTCTCCTTTTTGATTTTCTTGAGTTCAACGAGGCTTTTCCAATTGTCTGTGGGCTATGTTGATTATAATTGGCAAGAGTTAACTCAATTGGGGTTTAATGAGTGCTTTGTTGTTTAGACATTGCGCTGAAAACAAGCAGCAAGCAGAGGAAACAAATGACATGTTCTTCTGGAATAAGGTTATGTTGCAACATCTACCCCCTGAGTCAACCCCAGTAGACGGCGGGGGCTTCGGAGTCCGGTTGATTCATGGGTTCGCAACCCACTTCACGATGACAATAGAAGAGGAAGATGTGAGCCAGAATGTTCCGGACTACATGCGAGAATCGTTCAAATTCAGCCAGTCAAAGACAGTTTCTATTTTCCTCATTTCGAGAAGGTCACGACACCGCGCAGGCCGCAGGTAACTAATTTTTTTTCCAATAATTAATGCCAAATTGTTGGCATTGTTCTTTTCGCTCAACGAAACTGAGTGAAGTTAGTAAATTAGAACTGCTCAATTGAACGAACAACAATTTTAATTATAATTCAATGCGTAAAATGTAATTTTTGTCGCCTGTCTCTTTGTTTTCAGCTTGGTCTTCAATTGGTATATCTGTAAGAACAAAAAAATAGGCAGGGCACAGATTACAATTGATTTTGATATGGTAATTCTTGGCGAAAAAGTTTGCTGACAAAACTGCGTACCTTTTTCAACAAGTTCAACTTCCTAAAACTCGTGTTTTTCCTCGATCTTGGTTTTTTGTTTTGGGCGCGATCGTCTAATGATGAACCGAAAAGAGCATAATTAATTATGATTCCCTTCCTCTTCGGTGTCATCTGCTGGCTGCTATGTTTCTTCAATTCATTAGTTAGCAATCTGCTGACTTCCTTGTGATTGTGATTAGTTGGTTTGTCGTGTTAGCGTAGCAATTGCTATATTGTGAACCCTTTTCGATTTTTAGCTCATTGGTTTGCTCTGCATTTAGCTTCGTTGTTCGCTTGGCTCTTTTTTATCTGTGCTTATAGCTTCGATTTATCGCAAGTAGGCTTCGAATAATCGTACGTTTTGTCTTTTTCTCTCATTGATAGCGCAAGCTAATGATTGGTATGTTCGCCTGTCTGCAATGAGCGAGGTCGTATGTCGAGATCTGTCTTTGTCGTGCACCTCTACGGCAGTTTTTTTGCAGCTCAATGAGCGGTCCGGGTACCCTGCTTTCCCACAAATTAACCATACTACTTTCGGTTTGCAAGTCTTTCATCAGTTTTGACGATTCTTCTTTGCTTTTTGATAAAATTGTGCTGGAATTAATAATTCCAGCTTTTCACAGGTATAGTCAAACTGCAAGTTCATTTCGTTGATCAATCTTGGTAGCTGATTTGTGATTGTTGCCAATTTTTTTTAAATAATTGCAGTAACAAAAAGAAAGAAACTTAAAATAATGCGGTTGTGCATTGTCCGAACATTAAAGACTGTTCAATTCGTTTAATTTGACATATGTTTTTGAAGCCTCAGTAGATGACGTTTTTTTTAATCAATGTCCTCAATGAAAACGCTTTAATCGATGTCTCCTATGAAGGTTCATAAGCATTGCGTCTACTTAAACATGATGTCGACAGCGCGTTCTGTTATTCATATAAGTTGAAAACCTAGCGCCAATTCCTCTAAGGCGCAATGTTTAAGCGTTTTATTCCGACTTTCGATACAAAAGTCACGGAATATTTGTGCTCGGGGTGAGTTTTTTTCTTCAGACAAATTTCAACTTTTTATCTAGCCATTTTTGACGGATTTTAAAAAATTATTCTAAAGGTAATGTTGTCCTGAGCTTAAATTTGAAAAGATATTTCACCTGTGATTATTTTTCGTAAAGTTACGGGGGTTTAAAGATTGCCATTTTGGCCAATTTGGGACAATTAACTCGCGATATATTTCCCGCTATTAACGCGTAAGCGAGATTTATCCGTCTTAGAAATCGTTGAAAACTGGTTGAAAGAAACTTATTTGCCATAATTGATTTGTTACAAGGAGCAAAATCTATTCTTTTGTACTTTACATGGCGTGCGGGGGGATGATTTTCATTTAAAAAAATTCAAATTTTCGGGAAAAAAATTCATTTTATTTACATTTAATTGTTTTATGTTATTACTGCTCCATAAACCTCAAAACGCAGTCGGAACATTCAAGGTTTTGCCCTGATGCGAGCAGTCTTTATTTTTAAAGGGGACAATGATTAGTGAAAAATGTTAGGGACACTGTTCAACCAAAAGTCTCGATAACTCAAGAACTTTTGTTAAATTTAAAGTTTGGATAAATTTTATTTTTGTAAAGAGCTTTTTTTAGGTCAAGGCGAAATATCTATGTCTAGACAGATTTTTTGAAATTTTGAGAAACACAAGCGATTTCTAGAGTTGAATGAATAATGCTAAATTTGAAGTGGTTCATCCAATTTTTCCAAAAATATATTGTACTTTGTGCAATATGTTTTCCCTCGCCATATTGCAGTAAATAGGAAAAGCTAAATTTGTTCTAGCCGCGCAGCTTAGAAGCACGAGATCAAGATTTTTAAGCTTCAGAGCTCTTTAAGCTTATGATTTTTTTCGTCAACCTGCTACATCCATCGAACTTTCAGTAAGAACCCCCCTCCCCCCCCCCTTATTTATGAGACGTGGTACGACCCCACAAAAATGTGGGTCGTTTTTACTAAGAAAAGCACGATATCAATCAACTAATGTATCAGTAAATCAAAAATTTGTGGGCCAGGCCAGTAAACCATAATTTTTGCTAGAACTTATGTCGTAAATGATGCAATTTTTATTTGAAGTTCAATTTGTTGATTGAACAATTTGCCTAAGAGAACTCTTTGCGAACAGGTTCAAGCTATATAAACAACTTGAAATGTTACTTCTATCGCTTGAATAGCTGACTCAAGGCAACTATATTTTTTGCGAGAATATTCAAGCTGTTAAAGTAACTCTTTAGAAATGTTTCTAGTTTTCGTCGCTTGAGCTGCTTGTTTATGATTTTTTTGTGAACCGAGTGAAGCTGATAAAACAACTAGAATGGTTTCTTTCATCGATTGAGTAGCTTGCTCGACATAATTTAATATTTCTGAAAGCATAGTGAAGCTAATAATTTGGGGTCTAGGACAACAAGCCGACGGGACTTCAAGCCGAAGGGACTTCAAGCCGAATTTAAAACTTTACAAGCACCACAAAACGCTATTTTATCATCTGCAAAATGTTGCTTTTCTAAAATTTTGGCAAGTTAAGTCCATAATAAGCGTTATTCATGACAATGCACCACTTGTGATTCGCATCCGTTAATAAAATCAGCCAGTTTTTGAAATGCATAAATTATAAACATGAAAAATGCCTTCAACCATGTTTTACTTTTAAATTTTCCGGAACATCATTTGGAAGCTTAAATTATATGCAAACGCCAATAACTAGTGAAGAAAGATCATGAAATTCAGAAATTCTTCGCAAAAAGTTTTCAAATTGTTCATATTTCACGACTTTATAAGGAATTATTCGGCTTGAAGTCCCTAATTTTACAATTCGGCTTGAAGTCCCGTCGGCTTGATGTCCGGCACCCAATAATTTGAAGCTCATAACCTGAGCTAAAATTTTTCGAAGTTTGGTCACTTGAGCACTTGTTTATGAAAACTTTAACATGTTGTGAACCGATTGAAGGGATTAAAATAACTTGATTTGTTTCTTTCATTGCTTAAGTTAGCTCTAATTTTTTGCAATTCTTTGAAATCGTTGAAGCTGAATAAGCTACTTGAGTTGTTTTTATTGCTTGAGTAGCTTTCTTAAGTTTTTTTAAGTTCCTCTTAAGTTTTTTTTAATTTAAGTTCTTTATAAGCTTAAGTTCTTTTTTTTAAGGTGAAAGTCTTTTAAGATCTTTTAATCCTTCTCAAGTTTTACGTAGCTTTCAATAGATTTTTACAAACCTATTGAAGCTAACCGCATATGAATTTTTGCAATGTTTTATTGCTTGAGCAGTATGCTTGTGATAATTTTAATTGTTTATGAATCAATTCAAGCTATCGAAATAAATTGAAGTAGTTTTTCCATAGCTTTGAGTACCTTGGTTATGATAACTATCGTTTGGCAAACCTAAACGGATTTGGAAGAAAAAAAAATTGGCTCGCAATCGAAAGTTATGCGGGTTGAATCACGTTGTCGGAGAATCTTGGTAATTTTTTAAGTCGCATTTCCTGACTTTTTTCTATTTTTATGAAGGCTCCCGTTAGCCGTTTTTTTGTTGGCGGCAGCTTGTCTGTGTTAAGATTTTAAATGCAGAACAGCATTTACTCTTTAAGTTTTTTAGCCTTATTTTGAGACGAGTAATTCCAGCAACTCTACTTTCCAATTTGTATAGATACAAGCGAAGAGGAGTTGACGAAGATGGCAATGTGGCAAACTTCGTAGAAACTGAGACAGTGATCTACGGACAGAACACGAAGTTCTTCAGTGCATTTGTGCAAGTGAGGGGATCGATCCCACTCTACTGGACTCATGAGCTGACGGGGGTCAAGTACCAGGCACAGATGAAGAAGTGCAGAAGTGTACAGGACAACAACTCTGCCTTCAAGGTGAGTCATTGCTTACGACTATTTTTGCAGAGATAGAAAAGGCCACTGCGGATTAATTTAATGAAGGTCGGTCATTCTTTTTCAGAATTTGATTTGATGTTATTAATGTCGGTCCTTTTTATTCAGAATTTGACTTTTCTGGGTACAATGTTATTTTTTTTGCGCTGAATTTCTGATAGATTGAGTGGCAAAAAGGCTAGCTGGTAACTGCTAGCTTTTAAAGGGGGCGTTCCGTCAACTTTTTTGTCATCAGAAAGCTAAAAGCTTCAATTTTTTGATAGCTCTTCTTTTTCGCCACTATTATTTCAGAAGCACTTTAAGACTGAACTTATAGTTATTCTTAAGGTTGAACAGTACCGTTTGATATTCACAATAAAACAATATATTTTTTGCCAAATGATTACTTTTAGCCATAAAAAATAATCTAAATAAAGCTTCTTCGAAATCATTTTGTCATTTTGATTCTGTTAAGAAGCACTTTGCTGCTCAGAACGTATGGTTATTCTTAAAATTGAACGGAACCGCGACAATATCTTGTCTATTTGTGACTTTTCTATTTTTACTTTGGTTCTGTTTAGAAGCACTTTGCGACTCTGAAGCAGATGTATGGGTCGAGAGTGGCTGTGGTCAATCTAGTGGCAGAGGAGAAAGAGAAGCTATTGTGGAATATATTTGCAGAGGCCATCGCAGATTTGAACTCGCCTGACCTCTACTACGTCAGCTACGACTACCACGCACACTCTAAACGAGCACGTAAGAGAGTGTTGCTTAAGTGTCATCGAACGAATATTAGATACTTATTTAGGTCGTATTTTTTTTCAAGAAAAATCTTAATTTGATCACGCTCAATTATGGAAGTGCATTTGGCGCTTTCTGGTGGCTTTTTTAACGCAGTTTAGACTTTACTTAATATATCAAAAGTGCCGAAACATTTTGTTACTATTTTTTTGTAAACTTATTATTTTGTTGGACCACATGAGTGCAGTAAAACGTAATTGACGGAGCGCTAATCTTATATTCGGTAAAAAAATACATCACGATTTTGACATGTAATCTCGTTTTGAACACTAAAATCAGTTAAAACGATAAGCGAGAAATAATTTTCAGCTGACTAGAATTTTAATATTTTTAGAAAAAAATAAATAATTTTTGTTTCAGCTGCTGATGAGTTGGAAAAATATTTCTTGCTCAATTTCAAAAGAATCCAAAGTGATATCGGCTTCAGTTACGGTGACAGTCATGGTCTGGTCAAGTTCCAGAAAGGCGTGTACAGAATAAACTGTGTTGATTGTCTAGACAGAACCAACGTGGTCCAGCGATGGCTAGCTGAAAGTGTAGTGAAAGACGAAATGGTCAGGATCGGATGTTTACTTCCAGAAGACAACGTTCCTCTGAGGCTGAAAACTGCTTTGAAAAATATGTGGCATGAAAATGGAAACACAATCAGTAGGCAGTACACAGGAACGGATGCTCTTAAAGGAGACGTGACCAAAACAGGAAAGCGTGAAATGACAGGGTTCCTAAGAGACGGCGTCAATTCCTTAGAAAGACGTTACGTAATGGCACAGTTTAGAGACTCAATTTTGCAATGTGTCATTGATCTTTTGACATTGGGCTATTCTGACGAACCAGGGTTTAGTATAGAGTCTCAAATTGTAGAAGTTGCCAAGAAGCGAATCGACCAGACGGATGAGTTCTGGAGTGCCTGGATAGTTGATCACATGGAATCGCATGTCGAATTGTCATCCCAGAACCCTCGCAACAGATTGTTTCCCGTAAATTGGACCTTATCTAAGGGTTCTGAAGATATAGTTACGTTTCACGTGCTGATGGTCTGCAGTAATAATTTCTACTTAGTCTACGTTCAGAACCGACTTGAGAAATTGAAAGTCGTCAAGTGTTTCAAAGTGCCAATTCGTGATCTGGAATCCCTCGCGTTTGGAACTATTCTTAACTCTGGATCAGAAATTTGCTGTCTTCAAATCTTTCATCCAATACCAACAACAGCGTCGGGAATTACAACAACGAATCAGATTACGCTCAAACCAGTTGATCTAGACGAGGCGACCCTTGGAAACCCAGTTCCTAAGAGCAGCGATACTGAAGGAGACATGAAACCTAGTAATTCCGATGAAGATCTTCAAATGCAGTTAACCAACCCGGAAAATTGTTCCGACGAGTATTCAAAATCGAGAGCAACAGTTGATAAAATTGTAGAAGATTTCGCCAAAGCAAGGTCGAGGTTGTCGCTTAGCATAAAAGTAAAGTCAGGTCAACTCGAAGTGGCGTCTGCTGAACATCTATCCATGATTAATCCATCTCGTAAAATGAGCGCGCAAAATGCGGCAGATAAATTGAAAGGATTTTTGACAGCTGGTGTGAACAGAACCGAATCGAACATTGAAAGAACTAGAAGTTCAGAAGATGTTCAAATGCAAAGTGATTCTAGAAGCTACTCTCAAAATACTAATTCGATGTTTATGAAATCGTCGCAGTTTTTGAACAGAATCAAACCGAAGGAGTTCCTGGGGCGTTTCCAAAATGGGAACAGTAATAGTAACAGTAATGCGAATGATGAAACAGATCGTTTTAATAGAATGTCCCAAAGTGGGCTTCGGAGACAATCAATTTCAGACTCGAATCTGAGTTCCAATGATTCTATTCTTAACATTGAGCTAGCTAACTCCTCTATCACTGACACTAATGATACTACAAGTACAAGAGATTCTCAGGAAAATATTGGGCCATATAAAATGTCAACTGTGAAAGTTGAGAACGAATTGGCAACTAATGGCGCCAAACTGCAAGTTGTCGAAGTGCAAGAGTATGTAAGTGTGCAACACGACCAGAAGACTTTAGTAAAAAGGTTGCAGAGCAAAGATTGCAAAACCATGGTCTGTTTTCTGTGATTATTTATCTCTACTTGTTATACCTTTTTCAACTAAATTGTAATACTGTAAATAATACGCAATTAGCTTTTAGTTATGAATGCCTACTTACGAAAGGACGGATTTTCTTAGAATGTTTGAGAATTTTTTTCTCGGCCAAGACTTCGAATTTTTTCCTTACATTAGAGCGCCGCAATGTGCTTTGTTTTCTCATGATCTCAACGTCAAATTTATAGTTTTTAAAGTTGACTCTCAAATTTTGCTACTTTAGCTCGATATTGAGCCACAAGCCATATGAAAACGAAGTCAAAAATTAATCTGCCATTTAAACGGATTGATGTCTGGTTAATTTTCCAAGAATTTTTTGTGGTGCTAGTTCTAGCTGTAAATTTTGATTTAAAAATTTCAAATTATTTGATATTCAATATTGTATGCATATGTTTGCTTTGGGAATGAAATTATTTATTTAAAAAGCTTAGATTTTTTATCCAATCTGTTCTTTTTTTGTTGAAAGCAAGGTTTATATTGAGATGTACTGTGAGCAACTATACAATGTGCCACAAGTGATCTCTAGCGAGCTTAGTGTCATGTTACGAAGTCCGGACTAACTTTCGCAAATAAACATGGTCATTGGCTGACACTTTAGCTTCAATACATAGCACCGGTAAGTTAATAGCATCTGAAGCTGTTTTATTGCAAGATAGTGCTGTATACACGAGCGTAGCAAAAATCGCAGATGCGAAGACGTGAGGCTCCTAATCTCCAGACCGGGATTCAATTCCGTCACAAGGCATAAGTCTTATTTCTTGGAGTAATGAACGTAGTGAATACTTATATAGGTCTTGATGATTTTTTTTGTTTTTTTTTTCAGGAAAAAGTCTTGATGCACTTAGGTATATATGCACTTTTTGAGTTCAATGGAAATTCATCGGCTGAAAGTGACGTAAATAGCACTCTCCAAATGGAAATGTCGCGAAAAAACGTGAACGATTTCTAGTTTCGAAAGTGGAATTTAATTTTTAGATTTCCAGCGGAATAAAAACCTTACCTGTTGAGCCAGTTTTCTAAAGTTGGGTTAATGTTATCAAAAAAGCGCAAACCAGAAATCGTTCTAGAAGTTCAAAGAGCTTAAAGGGCATCTATTTTTTCAACAAAGTCAGTGTTTTTTTGTTTATTTGCGTTCATTACTCTTTTCCAATCTTCGAGCTTTTTTGCCATTGTATCGCTTGTGTTTGCGAAGCAGGTATCTAAAACAGTGCGCTCTGAAGTAAATGTCGTGTTTTGTCGTCACGGTTGAGTTTTCTTGAGTTTTTTTAATCGGGTTATTCCAAGAGCAGCACAAAACATATACCAGAGAAGAAAGTTACCTTAATAACGGAGGTTATTTAACCTTAACTAAACAACAGATCTAATATTTGAGGGCGAAGGTAGATCAGGTAGTTTTTCTTCATTTTATTCAAATTAGAGCTAAATTTGGGTGTTTAGTTACATCAGCGCATTATGCATTTGGGTGTTTTTCTCTTGAAGTTTTTTTATGTCATGATTCGCTGTCAATTGTTTTAGGGGTTAATAGAATTCGTTTCGTTTTGATCAAAATAAAAAAGTTAGAGTCGTTTGGCCGTTTAACAAAATTTATATATTTTTTAGAAAATGCTTCAAATATAGTCAGTTTGTTCGCCTTTTTGAGTTTAACGACACTTTTTTCAATTGTCTGTTGGCTATGTTCACTAATTATCACGGACTAAGTTAACATCCCCTAAAATTGTCGTATGACCGTGAGTCCATGAATAAAGTGAGTTGATTTTTGTCGGAGTTTTTACCCAATCAGAATCAAGCACTTTACACGAAGAGCTTAGCAAATTGAATCCTCATTAAACGCTGCTGTGGAAAGTTATAGCGTAGTCTATCTGGAGCTAGGATGCTAACACGATCCCTTATCATAAATATTCAAGAAATTTTATGAAACTAAAAGAATTTTTTTTACGTTGATTAATGTAATAGTAAGTTATTTTTTTGATTAAATTCACGATTTTCGAAAAATTCAGTATACAAAATTCAGTTTTTTCTAAAAAAAAAAAACTTTTTATCTGATCCAAAAGTTTGATAATTTGAGTTCAGCCCATTTATATTTGATTCCAGCTAAGCTAACGTTCTTGATAAAACTAATCTGCAAAACAAATCTCTAAGGTCTTTCTACATTTTTGGTACATAAAAAATACTGTAAATGTTAATGGCAGTCGGTTTTCAAATGTCAGTCGGTTTGTCATTGCGATTGTCAAGTCGGAATGTAGACTTCTATAGAAATGTGTTTGTTTTTGGCTTCAATGTTTTAATTCAATAGTAACATTAGAATCTGTTACCAATGTCTGAATGATACACTGACCTTTGAAGAGCTACAAGTGCTCCGCTTGATAAAAAACTTAAAAACTACAACATTAGAGAAGGAAACCAAACCGTTGAAATAAAATTAAATCTTAGCTAATTTACTTGCACTTGTTATTGTGAAAGATCTAAGAATAGTTCATAAATATCAATGTTAAAGCAGATACTTTAAATTTGCGAATTTAAATAGTTACCCAGAACTCAGACTCAGTTATAGACAATAGATCGTCGTTTCGATATCTGACTTGTACTTGTCGAACTTAAGCGCCCGCAGTAATAGAAATAAATCACCGTTTTAATAAACGGTTTATGTTTGTCAGATTGTATAACCTTGTGCAATTATTGCACTTTCAGATCTGGGTTGCATAGTTTTATCGGGGCGTAGTTATTTCCGTAGCTGTTAAATCAGCTTTATTAATATTCCGGCTGGAGAAGTATCTTCTCGATTTTCATTCGTATGAGGCCTGAAAATTTAACAGAAAAAACATCCCAACACACTAGCGCACAAAACGACAGATTCGGTGACCAGCAGAATCGCAACGAGCATCACAATCACATCAATAGCAGCTCAAAGAGCAATAACAACAGCCCGAAACTTCACCCTATGATGGCTGTACAAATCAAACCATCGCCTGTCGGGATTCTAATCCTATGCATATCTTTCGTCATCCTCATTTATTACATGTTCAGGTAAGTTAAGAATCGGTTGAATAAAGATATTGTAATTATCTAGTTATCTAAGCTAACTAGTTAACTAGGAGTATTTTGATATCAGGAATTGTGCTCTACAGTAATTACTTCAGGTTTTCACAGGTGTGGATCCAGGATTTTATAGAATTTCGTCTAGAATTTTTCAAAATTTTAAGATATTTTGTGTTCTTGGAGTGCTGAAATTTAAAAAAAGCCAAAAAAAATTTCCGATTAATCCTATTCAAATGAAATAGCGAACATTATTAACTACATTTTTGGAAATATTATATGTGACAAACAGTCGAACTTTTAACATAAAATATGGTTATAAGTAGTAAAAAACAAATTATCATGATTCATTTCAAATATAATTTCTGTTCAGATCTACAGACGTGAGCACCACTAGTTCCATCAGCATCCGAGAACTGATCTCGGCATCCATAGATGTGGCAGAGAGAGGAGGGCGAGAGGTAGTTGCTGTGAAGAAAGAACACGAGGAACATCAGAAGAGCAAAGGGGAGACAAAGGAGGGCGCCAATGATCCAGTCACTGACGGGGATTTCAGATCACATGTCAAGATTACAAGTGCACTCAGAAAAACATTTCCATATCTAAATGTAAGTTATAACTTTTAATTGTATAATTCACCGTGTAACCCTAGACTTAGTGTTCTAGTATAATTAAGAGTAATGAACGCAGTGAAGACTCTTGTATATACTGGGCGACATAGAAAACCCATCAAAATGAAAAAGGTTGAAGAAACCGTGAAATCATACAAAGTAACGCTTTTGAAGCAAATGTGATCACGCTTCAGCCACAAATTTACATTTGTTTTTTTTTACTTAAGTTGAATTACCTTATTTCCTTGATGAGAATTTTATACCTGAAGTTAATCAGCGAAACCCAGTTTTGATCCAAGAAAAAGTATATTTATGGCTCATCCTTCAGTTTTATTTAGTTTATTGACCTTTAAATTCAGGGTTTTTTATAGAACCATAATAGAAATAAGGTAGTAAAGTTAGTTCTATGAGATGAATCACGTAAAAATATACAAGTGTTTACGTTATTTTTGCACAAAAAAAAATCCAGGCAACTCGTCAAAATATGTTGCTTGCTATCTATCGGACAAACCAATGGGCTTAGCAAATTCTAAAAAAAAAACGCCGTGGTAGGTTTTTCAGGTTTTCGAAATGTGGCTGTTGCGTTTTCAACGTCGCCAAGTATAGGTTTTGGTGACTTTTTTTAGGAAAGTTTGTGCACGCTCAGTTTTGATTTTTCGCGGATTGACGTCTGATTTTTTTTTTGAGTTCATTTCCATTGTTGAAAAGAAGGGAAACTCCTCTATCGAACAGCAAAAGTGTCAAGATCACGAAAAGATGGCCCTGCAGTGGGCAGGTGTGGGTGAAAATTAAATAAAAAACAGCTCGTATGTTGATTCTTCTTGAAAAATTGCTTCAGTAGAACACCTAGGGTCAAAATGTTTAAGTAATCATCATTAAAAGACCAGCGAAATTTTATTATAAAAAGCAGAAAACTGTCTGAAAGGTCTTACCATTATTGGACTGCCATCTTGGTTAAGTCTTTTTCCCTCTGGCCTTTTTCATAACCATTGATGTTTTTTCAATCTAGCTGGTTTCGGAAGAGCACGACCAAGGTGATCTGGACCTGACAAAAGTACAGTCTCCTAATTTACACATCCAAGAGGTCACTGACCACACTAACTTCGATGAAATTGTGCCTGTTGAGGAACTGACAGTCTGGGTGGACCCCCTAGATGCCACACAGGAATACACTGGTAGATAATTTTGTAAAACCTCCCTATTTCGGCTTCTCTTATAGCCATCCTCTTTCACCCCTATCAACCACCTCTCCTCTACACACCCCTCCACCCCCTTAAATGCGCTTTGTCTATCCTCTCTAATTAATGCTCGCTAAAAGATTTTTTGAATGTTTTGTAGTTCATGTACTCCAATTAATTGTCTGTTAGCTTGTATTCATTGGAGAAATAAAAGTAATTCTGCAAACACTCGTAATTTTGGCTCTTTTTACTAACCGCCCTTTTTACACAAGCATAGCTTGTGTTATAGAATGAGTTTTCTTTTTTTTCCAACCTAAGTCGGAATTATTTGCGATGCAATTGTTGCGAAAAAATGTGTTCATTTTGAAAGTGTTCATTTTGATCCAGCTATTAAGTACAGCCAATGCTAACGATATTAACACAGACTATTATATTACAAATAGCACTTAAAAGCTCTAAGGTATCATGGATCTGCAGTGTAGAGTTAGGGAAAGAGACCCGCAAAAAATAAGAGGGTTCAAACCTGTGAGGGTCGGATGTTTTTATTGAGCTTTTTCGTATACTAGTTAAAATGCGTCCGCTCTTTGAATTCAGGCATGCTAGTTGGTAAATTTTATTTTTTCAAATTGACTGGTACTGCTAATGCGTTTTAATAGGCCTCGGTCACTTAGCAATTATGTAGACTCATAATTGGCGTGCGTTAGTTAAGAAATTTTGTAGACTCAAAGTTTTATCCATTCAGTTTTTCTCAGCAGCATTAGCGGTCATATTTTTGCTTGTGAATGCGAAGTGCAACTTCGTCTCTGTGTCATTTATAGCAATGATTTTATCGCCAATCGAGCTAATTAACTGCAACGGAAAAATGAATATTCTGTTGATAAGAGTATGAACATTGAGTTGCTAAATTATAGACAGGTCACTTGAACGATGTTTGTGGACTTAAGTTTGTGGAAAGAACTTAATATTCTGGTGTGTTTTAGTTTTTTTGTTTTCAACGTAAACTCAGGTACCACAATAACCATCGGAATGGGTCGAGTGATATATCATACTAAAGCATTTAAAGCCGTGATTCGAACGGCATTTAAAAGTTTTCAGAAAAATGTCCCATTGTCGAGAAAAACTGGTCTGAAGTTTTTAAGGCTTAGGCTGATCGATCGAGTAACGTTCATTAGATAAAAATTGGACATTTGGGCTCAAAAAATTTGATTTTTCTAAACTGATGATTTTTCTTTGATTTTTCTAAAAGCTTAATTTAAAACTTCCTCTAGCGCTTCCCTAAATTTTTTTCTGTTATTTATTTTTGAAGCCAACTGTTGTTGATGATATCTAATTGGCTGACTTTCTAAGCCTTTGTGTATTTCTCGCATCACACCATGGACAAAAAACGGCACTAAAATGAAGAGAAAAAAAAACGTTTGTGAATATGTTCAGAACATTCTGTGCTACTAGCTCAACAAACGGTCTATCCTTTCTTTAGTTGTGTTTTTGATTTTTTGTTTCGTAATAATGACGGGAACCGTTTTTGTGACCATTAAAAATGTTTTATTTAATTCATTTTTTTTCATCTTTTCCACGCAAAATCAGGTATTACAAATAATCGTCGGAATAGGTTGAGTGGTATGCCAAACTTAAGAGTCCCTTCAGTCATGATTTCAATGACAAAAAAATCATTTTAAATAAATAGTCACCGTGTTTTTTGGTCAGAAAAACTTATTTAAAATTGGTCTGAAAGTTTTATTTAGCGCTGTTTTGGCAAAAAAAGGTTTTGTGGAATTGTTTTCTGTTTTTCGTTCATTTTTGAATACAAATGCTGCCGATTGTAGTTCGCTAATTTTTTAAGCGTTTGTATAGTTTTATAATCAAACCACACGCTAAAAACAACACTACTAAAGAAAAAGTAATTTTTGTAATCTATTATATTTTTAAATGCGGGCTTCACTATCTCGCCATGTTTGAGCTTTTTCAACGTATTATTTTTGCATGTTTATGCTATATCGTATAATGCAATGTTTAAGAATTTTTTTGATTTTTCAATTAGATTTTAGTGGTTATTTTACCGAGTTTAAATTAAGCATCTGAATATCGAATTAGGGGTTGCGAATTCGGCCTCCAATTTTGAATGCCCGTATCATTTTAGTTAACGAGGTAACCCAACCCTGTAGTTGCGTGCTGTCAGAATACTCTAAGGAGTTACAAATCTTGCCTCCAGATATGACTGTTCAAATCCTTGTAGTTTTCGAGACATGACGTTTTTTGTGATTTTTTCAAAAATTTTCAGAAAACTTATTAATATTAGTTTTTAAAAGTCTGAAAATCCCAACCCTGTTGTTAAGTCCTGTCAGAGTACTCTCAAAGATTGCGAATCTTGCCTCCAAGTATGACTGCTCAATTCTTTGTAGTTTTTGAGATATGATGTTTTTGTGATTTTTTCAAAAACTTTTCAGAAAACATGATTTTTTTTTCGCAAAATCTGAAATTCCCAACCCTGTACTTGGGTCCTGTCAGCGTGATCTCAAAGATTGCGAATCTTGCCCCCAAATATGACTGCTCAATTCTTTGTAGTTTTCGAGATATGACGTTTTTGTGATTTTTTCAAAAATTTTCAGAAAACTTATTAATATTAGTTCTTAAAAGTCTGAAATTCCCAACCCTGTTGTTAAGTCCTGTCAGAGTACTCTCAAAGATTGCGAATCTTGCCTCCAAGTATGACTGCTCAATTCTTTGTAGTTTTTGAGATATGATGTTTTTGTGATTTTTTCAAAAACTTTTCAGAAAACATGATTTTTTTTTCGCAAAATCTGAAATTCCCAACCCTGTACTTGGGTCCTGTCAGCGTGATCTCAAAGATTGCGAATCTTGCCTCCAAGTATGATTGCTCAATTCTTTGTAGTTTTTGAGATATGACGTTTTTTATGATTTTTTCAAAAATTTTCAGAAAACTTCAGAAAGTTTAAATTAATTCTTTTCAAAATTTGAAATTCCCAACGCTATAGTTCGGTGTTGTCAGGATACTCTAAAAACTTGCAAATCTTGCCACATGCGACTGCTAAACGTGACTGCTCAAATGCTTTTAGTTACCAAGATGTGACGTTTTTTGATTTTTTCAAAGTTTCTCGAAGAACTTATCTACAAAGAAATTCAAAAAATTTGAAACGACTATTTTGATGAAGATACAACCTGATTGTCAGCGTACACCCAGGCGACAACCTTATTGTCAGCGTAAAACCCAGGCGTCTCAAATCTTGCCTCTAAATAGGAATGCTCTTTTAGTTTCCGAGATAAGACGTTTTTTTTTTGGGGAAACAGGTTTTAAAAAATTCAAAAAATTTTGGATTCCTAACCCTATAGTAAGGTGCTCTCAGGGACTCTCATTGGTTGCAAATCTGGCCTCCAAATTTCTCCAGAGGCCCATTAAGTTTTCGAAATGACGCTTTTTAAAGGGGAATTTAAAAAAATTTAAAATTTCGAAATTACCAACCCTGTAATTGGGTGCAGTCAGAGTACACTAAAAGTTTGCAGATGTTGTTTCCAATATATGCGGTTTTTCATGAGTTGTCGAAAATTTTCGAAGCCCCGAAGGTGCGTTAAACGCTAGTTTTTTATTAATGTGGTCACATTATTCTCTGCAACTTGCAACCGGTTATCCTTGTCTAACTACTTCAATTAGATGTTTTGCGTGATCCATCTTTCTTGCTTGTATTTTACCTATTCATTTATCATCTAAGAATTCAATTTGAATTAGTGCAAAATTTTTGGATCTCATACCAGCATATACATAGATGTTTTTTCTTCCATAAAATTAGTCTGCATGGCAAAATTTTGGGAAACAATTAGAAAAAGAAAAACTTTAATTTATTCATTTTCGCCCATTTAAATTTTTTTAAATCCTTATGATTCAATTCAGGTCACACATAGCAAGGGCTCGAACTAGCAGAGAGTTAGCTGATTTTGAGTCCTGGGCGAAAATGATTATCTATATGTATTTTACTGTATGCTTAAACTCAACTAAGACTAAACTCTAAATGTTTCTGTGGGACTTCAAAATAGTTTCTTTGTGTTGTGCAGAGAACCTGTTGCACTACGTGACAGTGATGGTGTGCATAGCGAGGAAGGGAGTCCCCATAGCAGGCGTCATTCACAAGCCATTCGAACAGAAGTCATGTAAGCACATTTCTCGGTCTTTTCTGTTTTACGGCCCAAAAACTAATCATTTTGCATCCTTGAAAATTTGATTTTTACGCTCAAAGCTGATTGGATGAAATTCATACGGCCCAAAAACTGATCATTTTGCTAATTTGAAAGTTGATCATAATGCTCAAATCTGATTGGTTCATTTCATATTAGCGAAAATATTACCTAGGATTTCAATGAAAACATAAGCTCAGTTAACAGTCTTATAATTTTGGGCCGTACAGCATAAAAGACTCCATTTCTCTATTCCATCTTGCTCCTCGCGTAACAAAAACTGATAGATTGGTAAATTTAACACTAGTGGCACAAATGTTTTCAGCTCTAAGATTTTGATGAGAGAAAAATAGAATTTTCGTATACGGTTAGACTAAATCTATATTTCAATAGATTACAGATCGTTGAGGGTAATAATCTAAAATGAACATTAACATAGAATTTAATCATGCATCGTGTAAATTGTGTTTTGACTATGGTTGCTTCTGTATTTTGTCTCAAGATAATTCAGAAGTTTTGGCATTCGCATAGTGGTTTTTATCATCTGAGCATTCGGTCAAAATTTTTGCTTCAAAAGGACTCAATTCGGACATAATCATCGTAGCAAATAGTGCGATAATTTAGATGTTTTGTAAATACATTTTTGTGTATATTATTTTGTTCTTTGACTCGTGTGTAACTGCAATTTTCTGAGAAACACAGAACTTGTGATCATATCATCATCATCATCATCACATATGTTATTTCGACACCAATTTCTTGAATTCAAAGGTGTTTGAGTTTAATTAAAAACCAGTTTTGTCGTAAGAATAATCAGTCGCTCCGCTAAAGATGAGTTCGTTTCTGTCGATAGCCGTACCCACTCTAAAATGAGCTGGGATTTGAACAGAAAATGTTCTTTGAAGATGGTTAAAAATCGGACCCGCTCTAAAATGAGCTGGGCGTTTCATCGTCGTCGCCTTCTTTGCCTTCGTTTCACAGCCATTGGATTTTCTATGCTTCTGAAGGCGTCATAAAAGTCCTTAGCAAGTTCGCGCACGCCATTTGCTGTGGGGTGAAGACCATCTGCGCAAACATGCCTCCGATAGCTAACTTTACAGTTTTAAAGAGCGGGATTTTTTACCATGCCGTTAGATTTCTGTAGCATTTATTCACTCTCCTGATAAGAGAGCGTTTACCTTCCCGGCTAATAAGTGACATGACGCCAACTTCGAAATTGCAGTCAAGGAGTCTAAAAATAGCACTCTCCATCTCCTCGGCTACTTCAGTCGCTCCCAATGACTGGCGCCCTGAACGGTCAAACAGGTTGTTTGTTCCTCCCATTATGAGCACTGTTTGTACATCCAAGTTTTTCATATCCTTGAGAACCTGATCGCTACAAAGGGTTGAGAGAGTTCCACCAGGGCACGAAACTGTCACGGAATCTGGCAGAAAAATCCCATAAACTAGCGATGATCCCAAAACAGCATATGTCACTCTCTTGATCTTATCAGAGCTCAATATTATCCGTCTTTTGGGGAGAAACCTGGTTTCAACATGAACATTTCTTAGACGCAAGGTTTCGTTTAGCTTTTGAATTCCAACTTTTCTAGTTTCAGTCATTTTAGCAACCTTTAACTGAAACAAGTCTCATAGTAATACTGGTTAAACAAATACGTTTTCAACTGTTTACGAAATTCAGTTTCATTTGGTAGTTTAAGGTTACATGGTAAACTATTCCAATGGTGTGCGGCAGCAAACCTAAACGTCCTTTTTCCATAGTTCGTGTTAACCAGTGGTTTCTTAATGACCATGGTCCTTTCACTGAAACGGGAGGAACTTTTTTGTAGTGAAAAATATTTACTCAGATAAGACGGAACGATTTGAGGATTGAAAATGCATTTGTGTACGATTGTCAAGACTTTAAAAATCACTCGAGATTTTATGGGCAACCAATGTAGATCATGTAGATAAGGAGTAATACTCGTTGACTTCTTCAAACCGAAAACAAATCTGCAGGCACTATTTTGGACTTTTTGCAACTTGTAGAGCAGATAATTTGGTAAGCTCGAGTACAAGCTATTGCAGTAGTCTAATCGACTTAAGACTAGCATTCTTGCCAACATATTTCTATTTTCAAAATCAAGGTAGAAACGTATGCTGTATAGTTTCCGGAGACTGTGGTAACTGGCGCCACACACGGAATCGATCTGTTTTTTCAATGACAAGGATCGGTCAATGAGGCAACCTAAAGACTTCACAGAGTTTTCTGTTGATTTCATCAGCTTAACCGTTGAATTTCCAATGAGTAGTGAACTGTTTGTTAGACCTTTTGACTTACTAGTGGCTAGGTTAATTACTTGGCTTTTTGATTCATTTAACATAAGCCCCATGGACGAAAACCAGTTCGAAATAATAACCAGAGATCTTTCTATTTCTGCTAATTCACTCTCATTTTTAATTTCACAGTATAAAGTAGTATCATCGGCATTTCTTGGTATGAAAATTTAGTTGAGCCAGTAATATCGTTCAATGGTGTCAGGTAGATTGAGAACAGGAGGGGTCCCAGAAGAGAACCTTGAGGCACTCCAAATTCGAGTTCTTGAGAATTCGATAAAACATCATTGATAGCAACAATTTGAGTCCGATTCTCTAGATAGGAAAGAATTAGATCCACTGCATCATTCGTCATTCCAATCCGATTTTTCATGATCTTTCTCAATGTTTTATGATCAATGGTATCAAATGCAGCTGAAAGGTCAAGGGCTATCAAAATGACCTGTCTCTTGTTGTCGAGACTAGTCAGTAGATCATCTGTAGTTTTTAGCAGAGCCGTTTCAGTTGAAAAATGCTTCCTGTAAGCAGATTGGTGTTCATCTAGAAGATTATAGGAGCTAAGGTATTGATCGAGCTGTTTATATAAAATTCTTTCAAAAACTTTACTGATAAACATCAGATTCGCTATTGGTCTATAAGAATTTAAAACGTTTTGGTCAAGTTTGTGGTCTTTTAAGAGAGGAGTTATCACCGCTCTCTTGAGACATTTTGGAAATTTGGACTGATCGATGCAATTGTTTATCATAATGATGAAATAATCTTTCCACGAGTGTGCTATTCTTTTCATATCTATCGTTTTCAGTATATCTTCTCGTGAGTTCGCGTTTGAAACCATTCTTACTGCTTCTTCTAGTTCATCTATAGTCACATAATGGAATTGGAAAGAAGAAACTGCAGTGAAAGCAATGAGTGGTGGCGAGATGCCATTACTTTTAACATTTGCCACTAAATTTCTAACCTTCTGAATGAAAAATTGGTTGAAGTTCTCAGCTAATTCATAATCACTGGAGTATATCAGCGGTAGAACGTTTTGTTGTTTTTCTCCAGCAAGGCGTTTCAATTCAAGAAACCTGAGCGAATGGCTATTTGAAAGTTCAAAGCGCCTGGAAAAATATATCAATTTCTTCTCTCTAAACAGATCTTTACATTTCTTTAAATACTCCTTGAAAGCTGTTTCGTTTTCTAATCCAGGATTTACACGCATTACGCGTTCTAATTTTCTACGTTTTCGTTTTACGTCTGCTAACTCTTTATCGTAAAAATTACAAAATCGGTTTTTGACAACTTTGGTCTTAGTTGGCACATAATCAGTTTTCAGCAGCTGCAAAATTTCGATAAAATTCTCTGCCATCTCGTTCGGGTCACTGGTGTTCAGATTCAAGATTAAATTCTGATCTATTTCCGTCTCTAAATGTTTCCAGTCTGTATTGTTCCAATCATAAATAGTCAATCTGGTTTTATCCTTCCGTTGAATTGCGATTTCATAAGTGAACGTCAATAGATGGTGATCAGAGTATTCAACGTGCTCATTTCTAACGGGTGAGCACAATTCCGGGTTTGAACAAATTATGAGGTCTAGAATTTTCCCGTATTCGTGAGTTGCTTTCTTAACAATCTGTTCTAGGTTATATTCCAGTAGAATCGAACAAAATGTATTGGATTTGGCACAACGTCTGTTTTCTAGATCCAAATTAAAATCACCCAGGAGGAGAATTTGGGTTTCAATTGATGAGGCAAGAATAATTTCAGTCAATTCATTAAAAAACTCGTTATAATTTCCACTCGGCGGTCTATATATTGCTGCAATTGTTATTTTGACTTTTCTAGTCACGACCGTAATTACCAAGAATTCACCATCGTCCGAGAGATGGCTCAAAATTGTTTCACCCTGTAGTTCTTCGCGAGAAATTATGGCAACACCTCCACCTATTTTAGCCGTTCATGAAACATGATGATATCGATATTCATTTGAAGAGTCTATACACTGATTTAGAATATATTCCGTATCCGGCTTAAGCCAGGTTTCAGTAATGATCAAGATATCAACTTGTTCTATAGCCAATATGCTCTGTATTTGATTTACTTTTTTCGCTAGAGAACGTATATTAATTACACCAACTTTCATAGCATTCGATTGAGACTCGGGTTTTTTGTTTGATTTTAGTCAGTCGCTTTTCAAAGTTCTGAGCCAGGTTCTGGCTTCTGCATCAAGATAGTACCTGTTTATTACAACATTTTCCGGCCAAGAATTAGGTTGATCAATGATTGTTGCATGTTCGCCGTCAAATACACAGTGGAAACTTTTGTGGCGAGAATTTTCCTTTGTTATTTCCCTGATATGATTCAGAGGAAATCCTTTACTTTGACACCATGCGACTATATCACTTTCATCATTTGTCTGTTTTATTCTTCCAACATAGAGATGGCGTCGTGGTGGTGGCTTCTCTACACCTTTGAGTGCTTCTGTTACCACTTCTCCCGTAATTAGTGGTTTCTTTGGTCTGCGGTCATTTCTATCTTTGGAGCCTTTTCGCTTCGTAACCCTCGAGCTACCAGCTTCTGAGGATACACTTTCACGAGCATTTCTGATGAATGCCGAAGAATTCAGATTAAACTTCGCTGCCCCAGCATAATTGGTTTTGTTCTTTTCAATTATACTACTTGGTTCACGATATTGCTTCAGCGATAGCAGCTCAGACTTTAATTCGTGTACATCTTGCGCCATAGTCTTTATTGAGAACAGTTCTTGTCGCAGTTCATCAATAACTCGGAAAAGATCTCTTTTACAGGTTCCACAATCTGGGCAACTCCATTCAATGTGCCCAACCACCTTATCGGCAGTGTTGAGGCCAATACACGCAGAGTGGGCAGAAGCTTGACAACCGACGCATTTCACCGATTGATTGATTAAAGCGTTTTGACATACTGTACAGTGGAGAGACGACATATTTCAATTGTCTTGCTGGGAATTATTGGTCGTTTCCGCTCTAAAATGAGCTGGATTTTGGTAGATTTGTTTAAAGATATTTCCAAATTCTCTTTGTCATTCCCGCTCTAAAATGAGCTGGATAACATCCGGGAATTTGTTCGTGTCTTTTCTGGCTGTTGTAACCACTCTCAAATGAGCTGGTTTATCTTCTTTATCTGATTCTGTTTGTGTCAATTTCGATTTCCATCAACCGGATCTCTAAAATCCCTTCGTAGACAAGGGCTACCCAAGATAAGATGTTTATCCGGTTCGTCGAGACATATCTATCTATTTAATAAGTTTATCACAACAATTAGGTTTATCACAACGATCATAGCCCATTCTTTGCTCGATTTGGATACAGTAGGCTTTTTTTCATCGTAAACTTTTTTTTCTGTTTGTTATTGTCTTCTTTTTGTGTATTTTTCAGTATTCGATCTGACTTCCACTTTTATTTTTCCTGCTTTAAAAATTGTAGAGGAGTTCAACCTGTATGTTTGAGGCGTAATTGACTACGCTGATAGTCCAATTGGTTTGCTTTTGTGGCGGTTCTGTATGATTTAATTCATATAACCGCCATCAGTAGGCAGTATTTTTGTATTAACTCTTTTGAAATGAAGGACTATTTAAACTGTCGCGATTTCCTTCTTATGGATTTTTTTGGGAGTTTCACGAGCCTTTATTTGCTGTACAGGAATGTATGGTTTATGATTTGCGTTCTTTTAGTAACGTTATTGCTCGGTATTCAGATTTTTTATGAATTCTTTATTCATGCAAGAACTCAAATTGTCTTTGGTTTCAATCGGTTGCGCTCATGGCGAACAAACGCAGTAATCGTGTATTTCGTTGAAATTTGGAGGTTTGTCAAATTTTTCCAGAATCTTCCAGCAGTTTCTTTCCAGTATGCAGAGAGATTTGCTGGACAATTTTCATTGTCAGCAACGATGGATTCTAGACTGTACCAGGCTGAGCGTACTATGATGCAATGGAACAGCCGCATGCAAGATTGAAATGAGACGTTATCCAACCTCACTTTTTTCTTCTACGAATGAGTCGCGGGCATTGCCTGATGAAGTAATTGTTCCATAGGGAGACGCTGGGTCAGCAGGGATGGGGTCATTACCCCTATAGCCTTTGCCCCATTTTGCCATTACCTCATTTTTTACGATTACCCCTATAGCCTTATAGTAGTTTGCATAGAACATTATTTGGCAATCGAAATTTTCTAGATGAACTGCAAGGTCCGAAGTGGAAAGAGAAACTATCAGAGATGATAACTAAGGCCACCTAAATGTTTGTGGATCTGAGCAAGGCAATTATTGCATTAATAATTATTCAGTTCGTTTACAGTTTTTAAATTTTTTTTACTATAAGGATTCTGTTGACGGAGCAAATATTTTCTTGAAACATTAAAAAACTTGAGGCGATGAGCGTAGTTCAGTTCTTACGTGATGTTTTTTTTTTTCGTTTTTTTTATTCAAGAAATGTCTTAAAATGCTCTAATAACAAAATAAATGCGTTCATGCTTATAAATGTACGAATACCCTTAAGTATATGTGCATTTTTTGAGTTCAATTCAAGTTCATTTGCTTAAAGGAATCTAATTTGCGCTCTCCAATTTTGAGAGACGAAATTGCGCGTGATCAATTTCTAGTTTGGAATATGGAATTTAATTTTAAGGTTTCCCAGCGAAGTTGAAGTTTTTCCTAATAATTCAGTTTTCTCAAATTGAGTTAAATTTATCAAAAAAGTGCCAATTATGAATTCCTCTTGAATTGAAAGAGATTTAAGGCGCTCTGTTTTTTTTTTGAGTTTCGAAAATTGAAGTTTTTTCGGAAAACAAGTCATTTTTTGTTTCTTTGCTTTCCTTGGCTCTTTTTCTAACTGTCTGTTGGCTATGTCTTATATCTGTTATCTTTGGAAATTGCTGTCAGGACTTTTTGATGGCCCCAATTATTTCAGTTGACGCAGTTGGATATGATGTACTTTTTAAAACTTAGTTAACAATGCGGTAAATCGCCGCTGAGTTCCTCTTTACTATACAAACTTGTGCTCTTAACCCCAGTCAAAAATGTACAGTTGATAAGAGCACCATTAATAATCATTACCCGATAGTTGTTCGTATCCGATTTGCTGCCTGTGCTTTAGTTCGGAAAGAGACTCTTAGAATCCCACATCTCGAGAGCTTTGAGATGCATCCTTATATGATTATATGAAGGATCGTATGATAATAAACTATGATAGAAGTGGTTTCATAGTTAGATAGTATTTCTCCAGTTCTTCATTAGACTCGAATGCTTTTCTCAGCTTCATTTTTCGTAGTACTTACTCAGTTTCGAAATCTGATACGCCAGGATTCATTGCATCGTTTTTTTTCTTCAAATTTGAGCTTTAAGTTCAAATAATTTGCGTTTCTTATGAAATCTTTTAGTCGTAGATATACTCGAAGGCATAAAAAATTTTAAAAAATTGGTTTATTGTATACACTTTCATGGTAATTATTTATTTACTTTAGTTCTTGTTTTAATAATTCAGAATGACCTTGTGCTAATAAAAGCGCAATTTTTGTTATCATGGTGTTCTGCGCAGTTGGATCTCAATAAGGGAAATGTGTTGTTTATCCGTTTAATGGCTCATAAGTTTTGTATACTGATTGTTGAATAATTTTTCTTTTCAGACTGGGCCTATGCTGGCAGTGGTCTGTCTCCGATCCTTATCAAACAGGAGCCAAAAGACGCCTCCAAGAAGAATGTCATAGTGTCCAGATCACATGCAGGATCAGTCAAGGAAATTGTCCAGAGTCGCCTGGAAAATACAGACGTCATTCCCGCCGGAGGCGCTGGCTACAAGGTTTTTTTAAATTTGAAAAGTATTAATCAAAGAAAGAAGTGATTTCACTTGTTTAGATCTTGTTGTCTTTTACTTGTGTCGTTTTTTTCCTGTAATGTAATTTTTTTTCTCGGTTTGAATTTTTTCAAGTTCACTTTTTTCAAGTTAAAAAGGGAAGAAAATTCCGCTCCATAGTAAGAAAAGTTCGAAGGCGCACAAAACATGATAAAAAAACAAGATCAATATAAGCATTGATCTAGCTTTCTTGAATAAGGTTACCCTTATTCAAAAAAAATCAATCATAAAAGATTCTTGGAATCGAGTTGTAAGAGTTTAGTGGTTAAATATTTTTTCTTTGATACTCGGAAGTTGAAAATTTTCGGAATCCGTGAGGTCAGTGACTGTGTTAGCTATTATTAATTTTTTCAAATTGTCAGTATCGATTATTGCCAAAAACTAATTTCATTGTTGTTACATTTTCATAAATTTTTTCAACTGAATGTAGTTATTTGAACTCATATTCAAGGTTATCGTTGAACTTTGAGCATAGTGGATAGTGGAATTGGTTACTCAAGTTTTTATATTTACATTCTTAGGTCATGGCGTCTGTGTTTTGTAATGGAATTGTACTTCCTAGGTGCTGTCGCTGTTCGAAGGTGTTGCCAATGCATATGTGCACACTACCCTCATCAAGAAGTGGGACATTTGTGCGGGTAATGCACTCTTGTCCGCCATGGGAGGCAAAATGACGACTTTGAAGGGTGAGTACCGACAGCTGTGTGAACACTTGCTTATTCCTGCTTATTCGTTCACTGTTCTTTAATAGCGTCGCTGAACCTTCATTTAAAGTTCTTAATATTCAAAGGAAGGTTAAAGTTTGAATATTTTCAAAAACATGGTTCTTAAAAAAATCTTCATAAAAAATCGTCACTTGGAAAACCGTCAATCAGTTTTTTGTTTTGTTTGTTGGTCTTCGAGTTTAGTGTATTAAAATACCAATCATAGTATACAGTTTATCTATTATAGATTTGGACATTTCTGGCAATTCAAATTTAAACTTTCAAATACTCAATTGAATTATCAGATGGGAAATAGTTTCAACATTTATGGATTGTTTGCTATCGCAATAAATACTTTTTTTGTTTAGTCAACCAACCGGAGGTCTAACCCGTAGGCCTCTTTTCCAGTCCCCCCTTTGATTTTTTTCTGAAATTCATTATGTGAAAGTCTATTTAAAACTACTTTTCATGTAATCAATTACATTAAAACGTGGCAGCGTGAACAGGTGATCAAATTGCTACAAAATTTCTAATATGCAACATGCTGTGTGAACAATTTTTGAACAACTTTTTTTGTAATTTTACGAGGTGGGTGGGAAACTGGAAAAGAGCCACCTAAATGTTAATTATTTAGGTTGACGACAAGAGCGCTTATAACCAGCACCCATTAAGCGATGTTTTACTTGCAAGAGATCAGCTTGCAAATTGCAGCGCACTTGCGATTTGAACCAGCATTCATATGGTTGTTGGGCACCATCACTACCGGAGCGCCATAATGCCACAACTTTATATCAAAACTTCTGGAAGTAGTTCTTATTTTTAGGTGAGCAAATAAATTACGATTACAAAGACAGTGCGAGGAACGAAGGTGGTCTCCTGGCTTCTCTCTCAGGAAAAGACCATGAGCAATTTCTCACAGCACTCCAAGGAGCCATGGATAGCTAGAGCTACGTCATCGTGCAACAGAAACAGATAAATTCATCATGTATTGTAGGTGTGCGTGCAATAATCTGCTGAAGCATTAAACACATGTAGCAATAGATCGAAAATAGTGTCCAGACTTTTTTCCAGACTTTTAGCAATTCTAAGTTTTTTTTGCGTTTTCGGCTTTTTTGACACATTTTTTTGCTGTTCGGTTTATTGCTACATCGGCTTATTGCACTAGCACCTGTATTCTGTACTCAGCCGTCCTTAAAGTAGCCTCCACTCCACTGCAAACAAAAATTACTTCAAGGTGCCCTGCCGTTGGCCAAAAGCTAGCATACTGCTTCAAATTTTTATTCCAATTTTACTCAATTCCATTTGAATTCCAAATTTCAATTCCCACCCTTCCTGAAATGAAGCAAAGCACTGCTGAGTAATGGTTTGTAGATGATCGTCATACTAGCAATGGAAGCCACTGCTTTTGGATCAAAACTTCCGATTGTTTATTGAAATCCTGTCAGTCAATTGAAAATGTCGATGAACCGATAAGTATTGATTATTTTCTGTAATAAATGTAATGAACCCCTCTGAATTGTCTACTGCGTTGAGTTCAGATTTTGTAGAAAAATGCTCACGGTTTTGGATCGAATCATAACGATGTATTTGATGTTGGTATTGAAAAGTGATGCTAATTTCAAGTTTTCGACATTATCGAAATAGAAAAAATACAATATTTGCAGAGCCCATCTGAAATTTAAATTCAATTTATCGTTCCATTTTTTAAAATTTGTTTTTCGAGAACTTGATGTAATGGGTATTGCCATTTTAATGTACATAATGCTTTAAATTATATGTCAAATAAAACTTTTTATTTCTAATGCTGTTTTATTTTGCTCATATTTATTTAAAGCAATTAAGCGAAGTTATATACTGCGACGCTAAAATTTTTAGCTTGAATGAGACTTATTTGAATTTGTGGAACAATGTTCATTACGCTTGTAATCAGCAATCATTGTTAAACCGGAACCTAGTTTTTTTTCAGGTTAACAACTTGTCTAACAGAATCAGTGAATCTTTTGATAGCTTAATAAAAAAATTCAAATTCCAGTTCTTCATCTGCTCGCTTGGCACAGAAGTAACATCTTCATTTTGAACGGCAAACATCCTGCGTTCAAATCTGGCCACGACCTCTAATTTGGGTTCGAATCCTCTCGTTTGTCTGCTTGTTTTTTGTCGGCTTAGTTGCAACGGCACGGACGTTTCCTGCGATTTAAGTTATTTTTCATAATTGAAAGTAATTTTGATTTATACCACCATGATGTTGTATGGTGGTCACTTCGTGTTCACTTTTTCTTTAAAAAACTTTAAAACTTGTTCACGCTCAAATTAGGGTTTTCGTGTTTTGATTTTTCGTAGCTCAATTTCATTTCTAAGCAAGGCAAATTCAAATGACACGAAAAAACGGCATGACTTCTGGTTTAAAAATGGATTTTAATTTTCAGAGTTCCGAGCGAAATGAAAAAGTTATTTATTTATCCAGGTTTCTCAAATTGGGCTGGTTGTATCTAAAAAAATTCAATCTTAAAATAATTTCTTCAAAAATTCTTAGTTGCCGCTTAATTGTCCTCAATGCTTATTTAAAGCTAGCGATATTTTTTCGACATAATTTCAAATTGAACATTGTATCGCAATTGGTTGAAACAGCCCTGGCTTTGTGTGTTTTTGTTTTTGAACACACATTTCTCAGCCTATAAATGAAAGCCGTATCAAATATGCGGATCTGTCGTTCAATTAACTGTTGCTGTTCAAACCCTTTATAAAATAACGAACTATAACCTGGAGTTGCAGGATTCGATATCCCAAACGCGTCATCTATCTATTCTATGTTTAAATGCGAGTGACAGCTATCTCCTATATTGAAGCTTAATAATTTTGCATGTTTAAAGATAGAATTTTTTCACGTTTAAACTATATCATATATTGCAATGGTTAATTTTTTTTTCGATTTTCCAGTTTAAATTCAGTGTTTATTTCATCAAGTTTGAAATTAACAACCTAATAGTTGGATGCTTTCAGGGTTTTCCCAGGTTGTGTGATTCTGGCCTCCGTATATGAATAACCAAATCCTTAGCTGATGAGATATGGCCATTTTCGAGAGATTTTTCAAAAATTTCTGGAAATTAAATTTTAAAAAATTCTTAATTTTTGAAATTCTCGCCCTGTAGTTGGGTGCTGTCGTGGTACTCTCAGGGGTTGCAAATATGGCCTCCAAATCTCACTTCTCAAATCCTTGTAATTTTAAAATTATAACTTTTTTTTGATTTTTTTTAGTGGGGCTGTCAGAGTATTCTCCTCAGGTTGTCAGGGGTCGCGCATCTTGCCTCCAAATATCAGTGCTCAAATCTTGTTAGTTTTCGAGATATGACGTTTTTTGTGATTTTCTAGAAACAATTTACAAAATAATCATCAAATTTGGAAATTTGTAACCCTGTAGTTGGGGCGGTCAGAGTGCTCTCAGGGTTCCGATTTTTGCCTGCCAATAACACTGCTCAACTTTTTGTAATTTTCGAGATATGACGTTTTTTATATGGTTTTTTCAAAATTTAAATTTTTAGTTTGAAATTCCCCACGCTGTAATTGAGTACTACGAGAGTACTCTCAGGAGCTGCAAATCTTGCGTCTAATTGCGACTGCGCAGTTGCTTTTAGTTTCCCAGATGGCATTTCTTAGTTCATTTTAATTTTTTTCAAAGAACTTTTATAAAATGCCCAAATTTTATGGTTTTTCAAAATTTGTATTAAAAAAACTTGAATGAAAAACTTAGAAAAATTTGTAATTACGAACCCTGTAATTGAGTGCTGTCAGACTGCACTCAAATGATGCAAATCTTATTTCCAATATATGCAGTTTTTATGCAGCTGCTTAATGACATGTCAAATTTTCTTGGTGTATGTTCAAAAAACCGCCATATCTTGAAGCCGAAATTACGTCAGATTAATTAAATTGCAGCTGAATTGTGTAACAATAGTTACCATCTGTTATGCTGCCTAGCAATATTTATTTTTGGCTTGTTGGAATGGTTATCTTATTTTCGATTTAATGGACATTCGGCTTATTGACATATCACTAATTTTCTCATACCTCATTTTTTGAGTGCCTTCTAACCAATGTCCATCTTTGATGTAATAACTCTTAAAAGTGATTTTCAGAAGGTCGGTGAATTGTTCTAGGCAATATGTACATCAAGGAAATCACAATTGACGGGTTCAAGTCTTACGCAAATAGGACGACAATCGGACCTTTCGACTCAGAATTCAACGCAATCACAGGACTGAACGGATCTGGGAAATCCAACATCCTCGACTCTATTTGCTTCGTTTTGGGAATCTCTAATTTGAGTAATGTACGTGCAACTGGTTTGAGCGATTTGGTGTACAAAAACGGACGCGCAGGCGTTACAAGAGCTACCGTTTCAATCACGTTTGACAACTCTAACCGAGCTCTAAGTCCGATTGGCTATGAAAACGAGCGAGAAATCGTAGTCTCTCGGCAGATTGTTGTCGACGGTAAAAATAAATACATGATTAACGGTTTAAACGCAACCAATCAGCGGGTTGTTGACTTTTTCCGAAGCGTGCAATTAAATGTGAACAATCCTCATTTTCTGATTATGCAAGGAAGAATCACGAAAGTGTTAAATATGAAACCTCCTGAAATCTTATCGATGATCGAAGAAGCCGCTGGAACTCGAATGTACGAGTGCAAACGTGAACAAGCGCAGAAAACAATTGAAAAGGAAGAAGAAAAGCTGAAACAAATAACGGATGTTTTGACCGAGGAAATCATGCCGAAATTGAGCAGTTTGAAAGAGAAAAGAGCGTCTTTTTTGCAATACCAAGACATGGCTCGTCAAATTGAACATTTGACCAAACTTGAAGTCGCGTATCAGTATCACCAATGTGATCAAAAGGCACAATCCAATGCAGACGAAGTTCAAGCTCAACAGGAGGCGATTGAAAAAATAAATGATGCCATAACGGAAAGTTTGGAATCGATTGACACTTTGACGTTCGAGGCCGAAGAGTTGGAAAAGCAACAAGCAGCGGAACGCAATTCGGTTCTGAAAGATTTGGAAGTCAAGTGGAACGAAACTAGAAATGCCGAGGCGAAAGCCTCAAGCGAGTTCGAACATCGTGAAAAGCAAATGAAAGACTTGGACAAGAAAGTTGTCAAGATTGAGAAAACTATCAAGACGGAAAAATCGAATCTTGAGAAAAGTCAGAAAAGTTTACCAACGTTGAGCGAAAATGCAGAGGCGTTTCAAATAAAAAAAGATGAGGCAGAGAAAGAAGTAGAAGCTGCTCAGAATCTGGTCCTGGCCGCGAAATCGGGAATGTACGCAAACGAAGCAGGCGCAGCGGTCTCCTTGCATGAGCAGCTAAATGCAGCGAATACGGAAAAGTCACAAGCTAGTTCGAAAATCGAATTACTAGAACGTAAACTGAAACAGGTCAAAACTGATTTGACCTCTAAAGAACGAGAATTGAATAATATGACTGCTTCTGGTGGCGATGATGAGAAAAAAATCGATTATCTGAAAAACGAGGTGAAGAAAATCAAAGCCAAGATGGCTAAACTCGGATTTGACGAAGAAGCTTTTGCTAGTCTGAATACCGAAGCGCGTAATTTGCAAATCGAGTCGAACAAGCTGCGAAGCAAAATTGAAAGTTGGAAAGCGAAAGACTGGCGGTTGCAGTTTAGCTACCGACATCCGGCAGGTAATTTTAAAAACGAGTCAATCAAAGGCGTCCTAGCTACCCTTTTTAATGTTAAGGACAAGGAAAACCAACTAGCAGTCGAGGTCGCCGCGGAGGGCAAGTTGTTCAACGTGATCGTTGACAATGATAGAATAGCGGAAATGTTGTTAAAAATTGGCCAACTGAAAAGCAGAGTGACCTTCATCCCTCTGAATAAAATATCCGGTCGAGTATGTAATGGAAAAATTGTCAGAAGAGCGAAAAGCATCGCTGGAGACGAAAATGTTCATCACGCTTTGGAATGTGTCGAGTTTGAGAAGGTTATTAAAAATGCAATGGAATTTGCTCTGGGTAATAGTCTGATCTGCAATGATTTGGACAAAGCTGAAGACGTGTGTTATGATT